AGGAATGAAATGTAGCAATGAATCTCGTCTCTATAATTTCAAACCTCTGAAGCAGCTCATATAAGAGTTACCACCGATGTTACTATTTGTAGCCGACGCTTACCATTTTCTACGATGTGAACCTTCAATTTTTGGGGGGGGAAAGGGATTGTTAGTAATGGAGACTGAGAATCCTATTGTTAGCAATATACCCAACCAGGTCGACCTCCTCGCGGTTCCCTCTGAAAACTATCATGGTTAATTCCTGATGATCATTCTGGGCTAACTGGCCTGTTTTCATTCTCATCTATCACCCTTCATTGGTGCTCCGCCAGCGTATCCCATTAACGCAGGCGGGGTTACCATACCATTTTCACCCATCAAAAAAACCTTCAATTTCTTTATTTTTCGTGTTATAAAAATGCATAAAATACTCAACAAACACCCTTCGAACGAGAATAAATTCGGGAAAACTCAGACAGATGATAACTCTAGGAATATAATCCATCTAACTATCCATCCATCTAACTTGTAAATAAAAACAGTAATAAAAATCCAGTAAATTAAGATTGATTCTGATGAAAATGAAAAATACTCATAACTTGTTTTAAATATAGAGGCAAGTAAGTTATCTACGAGTACCTACAGCAAAATAATTAACTTAAAAGCAACTACCATTAGAAATATAGTTTGTGACTCCATCACGCTTAAACGGCTGAACAGATTTTAATGAAAGTTAAGTTAAGAATTGACAATTTTCATCATATAAATTGACTTATTTAAAAAGCGCTCCAATAGCTAAGTGTAATCTTAGTTGTGCAAGAAGATACTTACTTAACTATTAGTGAACATTTGTATTTTGACAAAAATATATTTGAAAAATTCAGAAGCAAAATATAAAGTACCTAGGTACAAATTTTTTTTAGTGATATATTCATAAGCAACTTATCTACGATTATATTAGTTTGCTATAAGACTACTTTCAAAATAATCAATCAAAAATATTTATTGAAAATTGATCAAATTACTTTTTTTTTTATTCACAGATAGATACATAGATAGATAGATATATCGTTTATTTGTTTGTTACTAATCACACACAACATGTTCATAAGAATAGATAATACATAAAACAACATAAGATTTATAAAATTGTGTTATTATGTGTGATCTGCAGCAATACAAAAAGGTCAAAGCTCAGCGTGGAACATTGTTCAAGGAACAAAACACTGATTTTCAGGTTTAACCCATTTGAGGGTACGTGAAAATAATAATTAAAATAACTATAAAATAAAAAGAGCAATATTTTTGGTGATTGTCTGTGCGGTGTGTCTATATACACACCTATAATAAAAATTCAGATAGGTAATTCTAATAATGCCACATTTCTGCACGCTTCCGTAAAAACCATAGACTTAGTATAACATACTACACTTTATAATCTAAGCTAAGAAGATATAAAATATTTTACATTAGTCTTACTTTTTAGTATAATTCTTAAGTCGATTAGGCCACTACGCATTTTATAGTCTAGTGTGTTATGACATTTCTTTACTTAAAGCAAATTTACTTCTGCCATAATATTGTGAAGGTATCGCAGGGGCGTGCTAAATGCGGCGCTGGCCACAAAACTAGGCCACACATAAGTAGGGTGCGATTTCGATATCGACTGCTCGTTTCGTGCTATTACAAGACTATGATGAATATTTTTTTTACTATTTAAAGTCCCTAAGTGTACCTTTTCCTATTTTTTTTTTATAGATGAAGATAAAATGGTGCACGTGCCTATGCTAACAATGTATAATAGTGGAACCCCAATAGAAAATGACGACGAAAACACCTTTTTTTTTTGATGGATGATACCTAATGGAATGGTATAGTCTGCGTCCCCGTCTGCGCTATCAGTATACACTGGCGGGGCACCAGTGAGGGATGATTGGTGAGGATGAAAAAGCAGGTCAGTTAGCCCATCGTAACGAATTTAACGATAAATTAGTCACGATGCTTTCCAGGAGGAACCTCGAGGAGGTTGATCTAATAAGATATATTGATAGCGATGGGAACTAACCTCCCCATTACTAACAATCCCTTCCTCCCCCCAACGAAAACAGCTCAATTGTCCCATCGTAAGGAAGTTACTAAAGATTAACTACGAAACAAAACAACCTGTAGTAAATTCGTCACGATAAGACCGCGAGCAAAGGGGACCGGGTGGAGATCAACCTAACAGTGTATATTGCTAGCAATGGAGACTACCATCCCCTTACTAACAACTTTCTTTCCCCTTTATTTTCCAATCAGGTATAATCTAGATAATGAGTAATTTTGTTTTACCTTGAACTAATACAGATATTAAATTTAAAAAAGTCTTCAATGACAATATTCTCTTATTATCTATATTAAAAGGAAAAAAAATTTTTACGTGTATTTTTATAAATACAAATACTATATCACTAATATTAACATTTATTGCAATAAAAATTATATGAATTTTTAGTTCTAGATTTATGATCATTAAAAATCAGTTTTTTAAATAACTATCGAAAAAAAACCAGTTAAGTGCAAATTGAACATACACACCAACATACACCCGTACATAACATAATCTTTGTTTTTAGGCGAAAAAATTATTTCCTGTTATATACTTAGAAATATTTCTTATAATATTTCTATATATTTTTATATATTGTATTTATTATATTAGACTTTTCGCTTCACAAACTATGAAGATAAGGAGAAAAGTGTAAGTTCTTTCAAATTTTCGATCACAAATCAAAAATTGTGTAAACAAGCATACAGCCACTTGCTTTTAGGAAAACGAGTTTAAAGGAGTAGGTTTTGATTTCTACTAAATCAATCATCAATACATAGTATAATAAAATTGTAAACTGATCGCTGTCTGTACATGGAAGATATATAAGAAAAACTATTATAGAGGGGATTTATAAACGCAATAGGACCCAAAACAAGGATTTTTAAATATTTCGTTTTTTTTGTTTACGTTTGTGCACGCTAGTCTCAGAAACGGTTCAACCAATTTGAATGCGGTTTTCACTAATGCGTTGTAATCCACTTAATATTTAGTGTTTGTTTTATTTTTTAAGTCCTGTATCAGCCTTGCTCTGTAATACTTTGAGTACCTCTTCTTTTACTCATATCATTTTTTACATTCATACATCTTGTCTGAATTGATTTAAATCATTATCTGTGTATATATGTACATATGTATAATTATGTCAGTACTCCCGAATCGATCGTTTACTTAATATTTAGATGTCAAACACGAAACAACATAACAATACTGGGGCAGGGTCAAACGGCAAGCCCACAGCGTCTGCTGGCCGCGAAGCGATGTCTTCCTCTAGTAAAATCGATATACTATAATTGTCACTTCACTATTATAAAATAATCATTTAAAAAGAAAAAGAACTGCCTGTTCTAAATTTAAATGTAAGAAATTACCGCCTACCTGAAACTCAAGTTGAAACAGCTTGAAAAAATTTCACTCCCTACAAATGTAACGGATAAAAAATATTTATGATTAAATGTACATATTTGCACTGTATTGGTCGTTTATTGCCAATGAACAATGAATGTGAACTGCACGACTGCACATGCTCCACTATATATCTTTTATGGTGAAGACAAGACAGGGACGAATGTTATAGATTATAAAAAATTCAAACGCGTCAAAAGTGTTGCGCGGCTTAAAACATTTTAATGTTGTTATTGTAAAGTTTGTTAAAACTGATTCTTATTTAAATTCAGGGCCTGCCTAATTCTACTGGCGTCCCTGGACAAATTTTTGACGACGGCTACTTCCCCCTCTTCCCTGGCGAGGAAAATAAACGAGATCTCCATCTTTTACTGAGGTGCCTCCAAGCAAAATATTAACGGCGTCCAGAGTTTCTTTTGATGACGAAAAAAATCCATCAAGGATTCGCACCCACAGAGACTAGTTCGAAACGGGCACTAGGCCCTTTTCCAAACAGCAATCTCTAAAGTTAGGACTGCTCTGATCGTCGCCAACCTTTTATATTATATAATTTACCTATTCGTATAGTGGCCTATTTATCCTACAACCATGAGGACCGTAACCCAGAATTGCACGCTGTTAACCAATCCCTTTAATTTTAAGTCTTCTTTCCAACCGACTTTAATAACAGACAGAGTTTAAATAAATAAATACACTATTTATTTCATTCCATATTTGGCTAAAGCGCAACGAAATTTATGTTTTTTTTTTTTTATTTAAATGCTAATGTCAGTCTCGTACTAATTTTATCAATATCAAACTCAGATTTTGTAGAATTTTAGCTAAATCATAATTCTGTTGTTGAAACACTTTGTTTTTTGTTTCCATTAATTTAAGAGACAATGAATTTTACAAGTTCATAGTGCGTGAAATTTTATAAACTCTACCGGATGTACAGCTACGTAAGATTCGGTGCATTGCGGTATTAAAAACTAGAGCAAGATAAACTACCAAAGACACAAAAAATTTCAATTTAGGCGCAAAACTTCCACTTATAAATTATTTGTATAAATAATGAAATACCTATTATATTTCCTCTGGATCCTAAAATTGACATTTTGATCTTAAATATAATATATTCTGAATTTGGTAATTAGGTAATCTGAATTCAGGTCATATTTGTTATACCAAAGATTTTGCCAAGAGCGAGATTCTCAGTTTTTATTCCCAAGAAGTTAAAAAACAAAATGCTTTCCAAATTCAAAATATTTAAGATGTTTTATTAGATAATGAATGATTAATCCCAGATGCAATAAATTTTTATATTTTAGAAAAATATTTAAAATGTATTTACACTAATCCCTTAAAATTTTCAATAATGTTTAATATTATTTTTGAATGTACGAATAAACTTACGTAGGAAATTTTTTATTGTAAAAAAGATCAATCTTCGTTTCCAAATTTTTAACAAATAAGTTTCTTTGTTACAAATTTGGAAAAAAAGTATTATTTATACTAAGGAGTAACTTTATAAACTATTACTCACGGATAATCCGGGGTTACATCCTGAAGTTATAGAGTTTTTCCTAAACTTCGGGACACATATCTGCATAGAGCTTTTCTCTTTTGGAGGGGGTCCAGCGCAGCCATATTCATCACTTCTGTTGTTTCTTGTCAAATTAATATTATTTGTATTGTTGACTTTCACCAAAATATTACAAGTCTGCGACGCGATCTGAAACAAGCCCTCCTCGAGGTTTCGTTTGTTGTTGTACTGTCGTTTAATATGTAAATAGTCCCACCACGATGGCATTTTCTTTTATAAAAACAAGAAAACGTGTTTCGGAGTCACGTTTTGAACAGACGTCGAGACGTGCGATTGAGCACCGGGGCGACTGTATAGTGGTAATAGCAGCTTTCACGAGGTTCAGTGTGGACTTGCGCGAAGTTTATTTTTCGACTATGTACTACTGGGGAATAAAGTCGGAATGGAATTTATTAATGTAAAAATTATTCAAATAAATCACGAATTTTGCCTAGCTGTGGCAAGTGTCGCGGCAATTTGGAATAAGATAAATCATGAAGTATGACATTATTGTCATCGACATAATTATTATATCCTCATCATAGATCTCAATGTAAAATATTAACTAAATTAAGCGATTTTCTATTGGGATATATAATTATCCAAGAAAACCAACATTTTGGTTACTTAAATGTTTTTATGCTTTTTCGATATTGAGCTCTCTATATCTAATTGACTTTCATGAAATGCCTAAAAACTTTTTTTAACCGTTTATTTAGATATTATAAGAACGTGTCCTCAAATAAAAAAAAAATAGTTTAAGTATTAAAAAAATATACTTAATATTATTGTATTCCTTAATTTTTTACCTGATTGTACGTCCCGCAGGTGGATTTATTAATAAATTATAAGAGTTCTATTGACTTTTGAAAGAGACATTAGATGTAACACGCGTATATCTAGGGATTTTAACATAGAACACGCAATGACAATAATGCATGATGCCTCATAATTTAGTAGATGAGGTTTGTTCAGCGATAACAAATGTATAGCTAGACTCGAAATATTTTTTTTTATAATTGACATTACCACACTAGCAACAATGACAAAAAACAACTAGCAACATTGGTCAGCAGCTTTTTTTTAATACATAATAAATAACAGTAATCCTTTCTCTGCTATCAAATACGCTAGTGAGGCACCAGTGAAGAATGAAAACGAGGCTGAAACAATGAGGCTTTTTCGTGACGGGTCCGCGTGAAGGACTACCTGACACGGTACGAAGGTACTTTAAATAGAGAATAAGGAAAGCTTGTGTATAACCCCTTAAGAATGAAGAAATTATACTAAAGAAAAAGAAATAAAAGGGAGTAATGACTCCATTGCTAGCAATATACCCACTGTCAGGTCCTGTCTTACTTATACAGGGGCAATTTAATAGTATTTGAAGTAAAATACTTTATTGTACTTATTAAATTTAATGTTATAAAAAATTACAATTAGCACTATATTGACAATGCATCAATTCATGTCATCTTTCATTTCTATATCATCAGATATTGATACTGAGTCTGTGTCATCAGGTTCATCCAACAACGCCTGAAGCTGATGTATTGAAGTCACTAATACATGAAACTGTTTCTTTCTTAGAGACAAGCGACTCTCCACTTGCTGCTTAGTCGCTTCAAGACTACTTAACTCTGTTTTTAATGTACCCAACCTTTCCAATGTCTCTTTTCTGTCAGGTTGTTCACTTATAACTTTAGCCAATACATCATACTCTATTCTATTCTTACGAACAGTTTTCGCTTGTGCCAAATCAGCTTTGCTCTTCTCAATATTTTTTTTGGCCACTTCTATTCCTGTTTCGAGTATCTTTGATAGTGATTCATAACTGTTCAATTCTGCAGCCATCATGTCTGACGCTAGTTGTGATTTTGTGACGGCAAATTCGCACTGAGCAAGCTGAGCTAACATTCGATCATGGGTAGACTTACTGTAAACATAAAAATAAAATATTAAGACACTATTTTAAACATATTAGAATTATCAATAATTAAATTAGTCGATTTGACATAGATCAAGTTAATATTTTTTTCTATCTAATAAATGATAGATTTTTTTGTGTAAAACATAGGGTTCTCATCGAAAATTTTTTTTTTTTTTACAACACAGGGGGCAAACGAACATGCGGCTCACCTGATGGTAAGTGACTACCGCCGCCCATAATCACTCACAACACCTACGGCATTGCAGGTGTGCTGCCGGCCTTTTAAAAAGGAATATGCTCTTTTCTTGAAGGTTATGTTGTCGTATCGGTTCGGAAATACTGCTGCTGGAAGTTGATTCCAAAGAGTGGTTGTGCGTGGGAGAAAGTGCCTTGAAAAACGCACGGTGAAGGACCGCCACTCGTCCAGATGGTTGGGATGAAATTTTAGTTTATGGCGGGTTGTACGATGGTGAAAATCTGCAGCAGGTATCAATCCGAACAATTCTTCAGAGCACTCCCGATGATAAATTCGGTAGAAGATGCACAGAGATGCAACATCTCTACACAGTTTCAGTGGGTCGAGCCGGACAGTAAGACGCCGATCGTCAACAATTCGAGCTGCCCGACTTTGAATGCGGTCTAATGGAAGGAGTTGGTACTGTGGCGCTCCTACCCACAGGTGAGAACAGTATTCCATGTGTGTGCCATGTGTGTGTGTTTTCTGGCGTGAAATACCGTCTCACCCTATTGAGCACCCCCAACTTTTTGGAAGCTATCTTAGCTTTTTCCTCCAGATGACCGCAAAACTGGACGTCGCTAGATATATCGACGCCAAGAATCCCCAGACTCGACTTATTATCAAGGGAAGTGCCCTGAAAGTGAGGAGATACGACAAACGGTGTCTTTTTTGCAGTGAACGCGCAGACTTGTGTCTTCTTAGGGTTAAAGTGAACAAGATTGCGTTCACCCCAGATCGAAACTTTATCGAGTGAAGTTTCGATTTCAGACACAAGTCTGTTCCGGAGCTCATCGGTATGTGCCCGCGAGATCTTTGCATGACCGGTGTATAATGCATCTCCTGTACTGTCGTCTGCATAACAATGAATATCACTGATCTGTAACATATCATTGATATGCAGAAGAAACAGTGTCGGAGATAGTACACAGCCTTATAAATTATTAAATTATAATTAAAAACTAACCTCTCCTCCGGTTTTTCATCGGAACTGTTACACCATTTTATTAATGTTTTTAATAATACATTCAGCCTTCTGTCATCACCTGTTCCATCTCCATCAATGAGAAGTCGTCTGCGAATGACATCCTCTGCAAATATTAAATATATGTAGTTGTAAAAGTAATTTTTGCATACAAGCAGCAGTGAACTAGAAATATCACAGATTTACCATCAGCCATATTTAATCGTTTATAAAAACAAAATTACGTGAAAACTACAAAAATCACTTAATACTTAATTGGATGGAATAAATCCAAAAATTTTAAATATCTTGTTCTCTCATTATCGTCTTTTACAAAATATACAAACAACCATAAAGAAATATATATATTTTTTAATTATGTTGATGGGTACCAAAGATAAAAATATAGACGCTAGAGAGACAATTCAAATGAAAACACATTTGTATAAAATGTATGTAACTAGTTCATTAAATTTTAAAATATATAATATTTATGATACACATCGATGTCAACACTTTGGTTAAAAGCCTATCATAAATAATTGTGTATTAATATTCATATCTTCCGTAATATTGGTACATTTAGGTGGATACATAGATTCATTTTTGGATTTGACTATATGAGGGTAGTACCAACTCATAAATAACGTAGTAAATGTAAGTAGCCAGGTGCCTATCTACAAAGAGCACATAACCAAAGAATAAAAGAGCACACTTCATACAAGTCACGTAAAACGACTTGATCAGGAATATCTTACCAATCTACACAAAAATCCTTTTTTTTTCTCATTACGTTGGCCAGCCTGATGTTTAAAATGGAACCGATTAGGATTATAATTATACTATAGTTTGATAATAGAAACGCGAATTATGTAATAAAAGAAATATATACATTTTATATCAAATTCTGATGAACATTTTTTTAACAAAAATAAAACAAATATTTTTGTTTTAATTATTCTTAAATACATTTTTATTTATTTATTATTTTGTACAATATTGAGATCTGAATTTCCTAATATACACTAGTAGATAATAAACACAAGTTTTCATATTGATTTTTGTAGTCAATGTTTAAAGTAGACAATTTGATATACAATTTATATATTTCTTTCATTATATGATTCGATTAGATTAAAATAAAATAATTAAACGTATGTACTCGTTTTATTATAGACGTCTTTCATAAAATTAGAAAATTTTCTTTTATGAAATAGCTAAGTTTTTTAATGAGAACAGTCGATATTGATTGGATTAAAACATATATACATAGATAGTAGTACAACACTACAAATATTCATTTATTTCATTTCATTGTTGCTTTGAAAAGGAAACTTGTTTTTTATTTTCCAGTTCGTAGATGTAAGGCCACTGCCAAATCTTATCACATAGTGATATTACATACTCTGTGGTCGCAAAGACAATTACGATGCGATTTGTCAAAACTGTCAATAATAAAATGTTGTATTCCAGACAATTTATCTTTTTGAAGACTAGGCAGCATGGTCTCCGACCTTAGCCTGTTCCAAACGGAACAAACGTACTAAAAAAAAAAAAAAAAAATGTTGTTTTTCACTTTTCCCAGATTTTCCCTAGCTCTCCGTCTTGGGAAATATGACATATTCTTAATTAAGTTATTATAAAAAATTTACTATTTTGTCATTAATTTATCCTTAATTTATTAAAAATTAATACTAGAACTATGGAGGAAGTAACTTTCAGTGATAAAGTCGAAGCGTACTTTTCAGAGCTTGGGCGATGGCTAGTATTCTCATGTTTTTGTTAGATCTGCTACATTATGAAGATACAATGTGTTATGTTAAATTTGTTTTCCTTTTAGGAAAGTGTGGCGGAGCATACTCTTAGGTCAAGTACTGTCTCTTCTTCTGAGTGGAAAATGCATTTTGACTACGTTACTACAGAGCGCTACATGGCAGTTCCCAATTACCGGGCAGCTTGTTGTCCCATATTTAACGCTGTTTATTTTGTTTACACCGATGTTACTATGTAATGGAGTAAAAAAATTGACAAAGTAAGTTATTTGTTTTACCTGTACAGTTTTAAAACTATCAATGATACCTACACTATTCTAAAGTAAATAGAGCACTATAGCATGAAGAATAACAGCATTCATAATCGGCTCTTAATGTAATGATAGCCTTATCTATATTTTTAAATATAGAATTAATAAAAAAGATATACCATACTTTTTATCCCAGTTAATCATTATATTATAGTCACATTAATGAAAATTTTACAATTTTGTAAAAATGTGTTTCCACTAAATTAATTTGTTAATAATATTTGTATCAATTTTTTTTGTACGATATTCCTCCAATCTCTTATACACTTTTATACATACCAAATTATACATTATACCTTTTTTTATTTAGTAATAAACATAGTTTTTTTGTTATTAAAATGGGTACCTTTAAATGAGATTTGCTTTATTTAACACCCATTTCAAACATCTAACTAAAAATTTTGGGTAATAATATTTATATTACATCTGTTTTAGGAGATGGTGGATAGTTCTCATTGCATGTACACTGGATGTGGAAGCCAGCTGGCTCCTAGTCATGTCACAGCGATTCACTTCAGTTCTTAGCTGACAGCTGCTTGCATGCAGCGGTGTTGGTGCAGCTCTAGTGGGTGGTGCATGGCGTGGCCAGAGGCTGGGGGTGGCACATGTTGCTGGCGCCACGCTGGGACTCATGGCAGTCGTATGTGTAGTGTGGGCTGATGTTGAAGGTGCACCTACCGATGGTATGTCTGATTTGTAATGCAACTTTATTGTAATTTGTATATAATATTGGTAATACTGTGTCAAAATATCTTGCAAGTTTTTAATATTTCAGAACTATATGATGAAATCAGAATTGTTGAGGTATAAGGAACACTGCCTTAAAAGTGTACTAGACCACAAAGATAAATAAGTTTTTGTGATTATTAATATTTTTAAGAGATATTTATAGATTATTATGTTTACAGGTAAAAACCAATTAGTTGGTGACATGCTGTGTCTCGGAGGATCCTTGCTATTTGCAATGGTTACAGTATTACAAGAGATGATGCTCAAAATTCATTCATGCTCAGATTACCTGGCTTTACTCGGTCTGATCGGCAGTGTGGTGTCATGCACTCAGACATTCTTCTTAGAGTTCAGTGAACTGATGATATTCAACTGGTACGAGTTAGATACGATCCTGCAGTTGGGTAGCTACTGCATAGTGCAAATAATATTTCAAATACTGCAGAGCTTTATGCTGCGAGATGCAGGATCTATAATATTGCATCTGTCATTTTTATCAGCCGATTATTATACTCTTATTGCTGGAATGTATATATTTCAATTTAAGGTGAGATTTTTAATACTCTTGTATATTAAATGTAAAATAATGTATCTGTAATAAGTATCTAGACATATAGCTAAAAATAAGTACAGTAACAAAAGAGCTTAAACATAATACAGAGAAGAATAATTCCTAATAGCCTACCACTGTCAGTTGGATGAATTTTGGTCTATTAGTGGTTTTCACCATCACTAAAGAGTTGTAAATTTAAATTGATAATGTTTGGTTTCAACCAAGTTCCAAAAATTTATTACTTTTCTCAAATATTTTAAGATTTCCATGAACATTTAAGTATATTTAAAGATTCCCAATTACAGGATTATCGTTATAAAAGTATTTTCAAATATTTTTTTTTGTTTACAGTTCCACGCGCTATACTTCTTGTCCTACCTACTGGCAATGGTAGGCGTGTTCTTATTCAGCGCGCGGCCAACGACCCCGCCGCCGCCGCTGCAGCAGCCGGAAAGATTGCCACAACTTGTCAACGACTCTGTGCAGTCACAAGACAATGTTTCGATGTGAGTCAAATAAGAAACTAATATTTAAACTGACTGACCCGGAAAATGTTATTTTGTCCCATACTGCCACCTACCGGGTCTATTTTCTGTTATTGTGATAAAACTGTCCCCTCTCTCAAGTTGAAACAAACAACACACATTTAAAAAAAAACTTCATTAAAATCGATTGAGTGATATCAGGAATCAGTGTAAAGGAACATCGTGATTTTTATATTTTTAACGTAGAAATTGCGTCATTAACACTGTTCAATTGCCAATAAATTTGCACTGTTAACTTTTTACGTATCTTCCATCTCGCTTACACTACTTAAGGATGGATTAATCAAATAGAGTTACCCTCTATTCTTCTTTCAAACAATGGTGACATTGAGAGTAGAAATGTGTTAACATTAAATACTATTAATAATCTAGAATTAATGCTTCTGTATTACCCCATAAGGCATTACAATCGTGAACATATTTATTTTACTCTAATGGAAATATTTTTATTTCACAGGGAGTACACAGTCCCCACACTGGACTGCATACCTATAGAGGGCCTAGAACCACCAATGAGTAGGGACACAACATTCACATCATTCTTAGGTGGACCACAGAACAATGTTCCCAATGGTACAATTGCATATGGTCACTCGAATGGTACGCAAAATATTAAGGACCCTTGTTAGTGTAACACAGTTTCGCTTAAGCTACTCTATTATACACTTGTTTATACATTATTATAAGACTTATTAACAAGTAATTAGGTTATTGTTTCTAAACACTGAATTTGTATATGATTCATTATGGTGGCCATACATGATCAACACACTAGCATTTACACCCAACCTTAGGGTATTTGATTACTGTGGGAAATAAATGTTATTAGTAATATTGTATTATCAGGTATTTGTATTTTGTTCTAAAAATTTCATTTTGTAAGTCAGTTGTTTTTATTCGTTAATAAAATTAATGAAAAATAATAAACAAGCAAATTAACGTCACAATACAGTAGTGGCTTTTAGATATAATAACATTGTTTATCGAAAATTGCATATAGAATATGTATTTAAAATATTTTTGTTGTAACATCTTTTTAAAGATATTAGGTGCTGCTAAAATTTAATTATTCAATGAAAAAACGAGTTTTCAAATACCCGATACTCATCTATAATTAAAAAAGTTACTTTACTAACTTGTACAAAAGTGACGAATGTATATAAAATTATATGAATTGAATAAATATTATTATGTAATAACATCACTTGCACTCTTGTTAGGAATGAATAGAATCATTAATAAGTAGGCAAAAAACTAATAAATAAGATTTATTAAAAAATATAGCGAATTAAACATAGTAAAATGTTTTTAGTTGAATAGGTTTTATGGTTGTTAGTAAAATTATATTGAAAATAGATATAAAATCGTAAGGTGGTTCGGGATGAAATCGAAGCCATCACCATCTTTTTAAAGGAAATTTATAAAACACTATCAATGAACTAAAATATTTTTTCTATACTAATACAGCACGATTGGCTGTTAAATTCGTATGGGAAGCACAAAAATTTTTGGTCATTTTACGACCTTAGTTTTTTTTAAAAAAAAAGTTCCATTTCTCTAGTAAAACGTTACCGTAAAAGATGCTGAGGATTTCGATTCCATTCTGTATACATATAAAAGTATATAGGTACTAAGTACACTACGGCATGTTTTATCATGTTTACATGTAAAAACTAAATGAATTCTAGTCATTAATAGTAATCGGTATTTCATATTAATAGTGCACAATTCACAGCGTACGTTGCAATAATTTTTTACCATTCTAAATGATAACATTGTTCAATATAACTATCTGATATATATTTAGATAATAATCGACCTTTAGGTCTTGTAACTAATTGATCAGTTATAATACTGGGTGCAATTAAAGAAAATGGTAAGTTTGTAAAATTGACTGGTATAAAACTTGCTCAAAACTGTTACTTTTTTACGAATTGAAAATTTAATTTAATAAGGACACTAGGTGTCATGTCGTATAGAGAGGTCAAGGATATGGCCTGGGATAGAACTGGCTGGAAGAAGATGCATGAATTAGTTGCACCGACAAGAGGTAACTCTTAAACGAAAAGAGAAAAAGGACAAAATACTAAATAAAATAAATTTATTTATTTAAAAAAGGAACACATAATATGAGTATATTGGACCCCACACTAGGCGAACCCGTATTGTGGAAGTCCATAAGGAGTTACCAAGACAATGTTATATAGATGAGTAAGTCAATTTCACAGAATCGAACATGATAAAATGGGCACTGTTAGTTAATATAAAAGTGTTGGACATTAATTTTTATAAATGAACGTGACACTAACAAATTATTCTTAGTGAACATAAAATAAAATAACAATTAATTACTAGACATGTGCTGTTTTATGGTAATGTCAAGGATTGGTTGTTTATTCTGAACTCGTATGTTGATGGTCATTGCTTTCATTCAAAATTTCAATTTTGTAAATAATAACTATATTTCATAAACATTATATGATTTTCTTGTCTATTTCCAACTGAAAGTACATGTCAAAATGGAGTGGAAGAGGACTGGAAGCGGTCTACCATAATATTCTAATAATACACCAACGTAAATCATCATCATCATCATCATTATCAGACTAACTGTCCACTGCTGAACATAAACCTCTCTAGGGGCGAGGGGAGGGGGTTTGCCAGTCGTTGCCACACGGCCACATAAATAATCACTGATAATCGAATGATTGATTATGTATCCCATTATTATAACTGATTAATTGCTATAACGGAAACTGCCACATACTCGAATTTTTACTCGAAATTTTTAACAAAATAATAATACGGTTTAGCAAGATTTGTATGAAATTTTAAAATAGTATCTATGAGAGAAATGTATTGGAATTGTTTAAGAATTAGTTATAAAGACTTAGAACGTTTACCTATTATAGCTTTGTAAATTTATATATAATATTAATATTAATGACATTGACCTGAGGACTGATAAACTTTTATTAAATTAAATAGCTACATTTGTCTTGTTAAAAATTTATACCGTATCAAAACGGAAGTACTAGTAACTTTATTGATTGCGAATAAAATCTATCCAGAATTGGCAAATTTATCGTAGGGTGAAAATAGTGGCGTCGTATTCAAGTTTACTAGATCACTACACTATTACTACTACTACTACTCATGTGATGGTGGCGCCCCCTGTTATCAATAGTTCCTTAGGCCGACTGAAACTATATTACTAGTACGTTAAAGTACCATATTTTAAAGATTATAGGTTTAAAGAATAGCAATCCAAAAATCGAACCGATTGCTAAATTTTTTCTGTCATTAAAAATGCATGACAACTTAGAAAATAGATTTAATTACTTAGTATTGATCATTTGTACAGACCACTCTACTAGTTTTTATTCTTCAGGTCAATCTCATAAATACTATATAATAGTTATTTTTAAAGCTGTGATTTCGTTCCTCATCAAATACTGTTGTTATTTGCTTTACCAAGAATTTATTGATCTCAAGTTGATATCTCTAGCTTTCGTTAATTTAATGCAGAGATTTTACATTTAAAATGCTCAATTATTAATAATAAGATATTTGAAATAATATATTTGACAGTCCATTAGATGAACCCCCCAATTTTAATTGTTAAAACTAAATATGTAACATATATTTTATATTTTGTTTTACAGGAAGCTAATATTCCGCATAGTAGAAAATGATTTGTTTTATAAATGTGATAAGGTTGTGTTAATTTGTGTTATAATGATAAAGATATGTTAGGTGGTATTATAATTATTATAGAAACGTTGCATTTCTATGAAAAGCTGATTTTCAATAAGGCCTATTACATTTTTATAATATACATATTATGAAAGTCGATAAATTTTTTCACGAGGCTCGTTTATATAAATATATACGTTATTACGAGAATAAACTCCCATTTTAAAATTTATTAATAGAAAAAAATATATATTTAGTGCTAAAGCTTAATAGATAAATCGAACAATTTTATAATAATTTTGAAATATATCTATAAAGTTGGAAGCGTACCTAAATATTCTCTAAATGGGTTAAAAAATGCTAACATCTATCATTATTTGAAATAGTTGCGATTTTTGGACCTTTTTTATATTTCTGTTTTTGATGTTGCAGTGAGCTCGTAATAAATAAATGGTACAGATATATATACTCATACAAGCAACATAAATTTTATAACTACTAAATCGTGATTTTTTTTCATTCGACCTACAAACAATAACACTATTAACTAATGAATTGTAAAAAAGTCAAAATACATAAATAAACAAACAACAAATACAAAAAACATTTGTGTTGTTGTTTGTACACGAGGTCAAGTTTGTTAACGAAATATTTATGTCGTTTATGAATATATCTAACTGTACCGCAATTCAGTTACGTATATCTACTGAATAATGAGTGTCTTCGAAAATTTATCTAACATGTATTTTAAAATTTGGTAAATATACAACATTTTAACAATTTAGTTTTTATTACTGTTACATTTTTTTTAATACCCGATCAACTAAAATACGATTATAACTTGTCTTTTTTTTAATAGATAATAATGGAATGATAACCCAGCCAGCGCTAACGGTATACACTAGTCACGAAAATTAGGGGATATAAAAAAAATAAAATTTTTGAGTGATTTTCAACGAGCTATATAGCTATATATATATATATATAGCTCCGAGGAAAATGATCGTACAGCAAAAAAAAAGCAAATTGTAGCTCCAAGTGTCTAGTTTTCAAACATGACCGTGAATATTTTTTATCATGTTTGGGTCTGGAGTAATTCTAAGAAAACTACCTAATCAAAATTTTCAATTTTTTTTTAATCTAAAAAAAGGACTACGGACTTAAAAATTTTTTTTTCATTGTTTCTTACAATAGCTCTTTTAGAAAATTTAATACTTTTTAACGTAATCAAAAAGCCTGTACAATAATATATAATATGCCGCTGAGTTAACGTCAGCCAAAACAAAAAAGTAGTTTTTAACTTTAACAATAAATAACTCTGGAAATAATGATCGTATAGGAAATCGAAGGAGGGTTTTAGAAACACGATTCTTTAAAAGATGCTGCGAATGGCTTTTGACGAAAAACAATTTTTTTTAATTGTAAACCGACTTAAAAAAGACAAAAATTTGCATAATTAAGGATATTTGGATAACTTGGTATACCTGTATAAAATTGATGACCTTAGGATATCATCGGTTTTTTTTTTCAATCCCAAAGTGTCCCCTAAAATCCCTGAAAAATTAAAAGCACTGCAATTTGTTTTTCATAGTTCCTCGAAGCTTCAAATTCTTTGTTTTTCACAACAGTATTTCGATTTTTATTAATTTTTTTTAATGAAAAAAAATATCTAAAAAATTTTTTTTTGCCATCAAAGAGGTTGATTTTAAGAGAAATTTGAAAAAAATCAATATTATTAAAAAAAATTTTAACGTCTTCAGAATGCTCTGTTATTGTAAAAAAAATAACTCCATTTTTATGCTAATACCTAAAGCGTAAAAAATGGTCTCCACGTTCATCGGATTTAAATCCATTTGATTTTTTTTACTGGGGCTGCCTCAAAGAAGAAGTGTACCGTAAGCCTATACAGTCTTTGGACGAATTACGCAGTCGTGTCAGAGCAGCCGCATCGAAAATAAACGAGCGACGGTACACAAGACTGCTCAGAAGAGCATTTATCCGAAGATGCAGGGCATGCATGAGTGAGAGGAAAACAATTTGAGCATTTATTGTAAATTTATGTAAAATAAATTATTTTGAATATTAAATGTTGTTTTTTATTATTCCCCAATGATGAGATACATTTCAATTTAAAAAATGTTCCCATATTACAAATTTTGTTATTTAGTCAAATTTTCTCCTTTTCTACATTAATAGCAATAAGTCATTATTTATGATAGATACAGTCATGAATTGTACCATTGTAAAATCTACTTGAAACAGACATTATTTTAAAATTATTGGTCACCCATGTAATCATAAATTTTTTTATACCCTAGAGGTTTGAACTTTAAAAAATATTTTTTTTTGCATATTTTTCAAAAATAAATTAGCTTTCATATTAAAAAAAAAAAAACTGCAATAGCTAGTCATACTATTCACTTTTTATCTATCAGCACAGTTATTGTATTATAATAAAACAATAAAAAACCAATAGGATTCATTCATTTCTGGTCATAGTGATCAGGACAGTAAAATAAGATAGAAAAAAATTACTTTTCTTCAAAATAAAGATAACAAAGGTACTACTTACTTATTTTGTTTCATATTTTTTTTAGGACGGTCATAAGTTTAACTATAAGACGCTTCAAGGCTATCCATTCATTACCGGACAACCTGTATAAAAATCCCATGACACAATGTTAATTCTTGCCAATATTTAAAACCGATTTTAATATTTTCTTTATATGTATCGTTAGCTCCTATATATACATGGAATAGTTTAATTTCGATAAGAAAAAAGGTCCCAGTAGATGACGGTAGCGGACAAAATGTCAATTAAATATAAATTATGCTCGTTGTAATATGAGCCTCGTCTACGGATAGCAGACAATTTGCCCGGGGCGTAATTTTTTTTTTTTACTTTATTGTGTTACATGTGACCACAGCGACCCGAGTGAAAACAAGGACGACATGGTCCACGAATACGACCGACTGAATAGAGAACGTGACAATTTAAACATACGACGAAATATAAAAGCACTTCTCCCCATACAAATATATAGGAAACGTCATATGCAAACGTGACCGGCGTGACCTCTACTACAGTTCTGCCTCTCCTGAAAAAATGTAATCTATACATAAAAAGATGTTCATAAGGAGCATAGAATAGCTGCTTTAATGTTGTGACTGTATAATACAGCGATAATACAAATTAGGAGATTACACCGTAAAAATAAAAAATGAAAATGCACTTTATATATTTATTAATAATTGCAGGCTAGATAAAATATTATTACAATATTAATGTACCTTAAATAAAAATTAAAAGAAACTACATGAGTAGATAATTAATATACAGAACTTATGCTTCGTCTTCGCTGGCGGATACTGATTTTGCTGAGACAGGTGTGTCAGGCCGGGAACCGGAGCGAGATCTTGAGCCAGATCGGGATCGAGAACCTGACTTGCTGCGCGAGCGGCTTTTGGAACGTGATCCGCTTTTGGATCGAGAGCGTGATCGAGAATCCGATTTAGAGCGAGAGCGGGAACGAGATTTGCTCTTTGAGCGCGACCGGGATCGAGATTTGCTCTTTGAGCGCGACCGGGATCGAGATTTGCTCTTTGAGCGCGACCGGGATCGAGATTTGCTCTTTGAGCGCGACCGGGATCGAGATTTGCTCTTTGAGCGCGACCGGGATCGAGATCCGCTTTTGGATCGTGATCTAGCAGGAGAACCGCTTTTAGAACGGGAACGAGCCCGAGACCCACTTTTGGATCGCGAGCCAGCTCGAGATCCACTTTTAGAACGAGACCGGGAACGGCTTTTGGATAGCGACTTCCGGTTTGCCCTGAAATGTTAAAGTTATGCTTAGTTAATGTAATACAATAAACTATTTATTTACTCATATAAATTTAATTCATATTAATTATACAATTTTTGTATGTATGTAGGATTTCTGGATGGAGACAGAGTGGAACGGATCACTGAATGAAGTTTGCTCTCTTACTGAATATCAACCAACTGAGTGCAAATGTATATTTTGTTGTGCTCATTTTTAAAAATGAAAGTGTTCAGTTAACAATTATATGTTATTTTCATTGTGATCCATCAGTCCTGGATATATTTTTTTAATATATAAAATACAGTTCTTATATTGAATGATATTTACCCATCGCTGTCTGAAGCCGAAATGATCCTCTTGCGGCCTTTGTTAGTGGGCGGACTGCGACTGCGGCTACCACTGCCGCTGCGACTGCGGCTGTGGCTGCGGCTGCGGCTGCGACTACCGCTACGGCTACGGCTGCGGCTACGGCTACGGCTGCGGCTGCGGTTTTTGCGATCGTGATCTGAGTCAGACTCCGACGTTGATATGGTCTCCTTCGAGACGATCTTGGCGCGTTGTTTCGCGCTAAGCTTCTCCTCGGCCGCTTTGGCTTTTTCGCGACGTCCAATACCTTTTTCGCCCTGAAATATTAGATGTTTATATATTATCCGCTACTAGGAATCATGGTAACTCAAATATCACATGGAAACATGGTCTTACGGAAAAAGAAAGAGCCGACGCGGACTACTAGTATGGCTTTAGTAGGCTATATTTTCTAATAAAGAGAGAGGTAGCAGTGAAACGTTAATAAGTTGTTAGTAAGTATTAGAACACTAGTTACCTTTTTGCGGCCCTTCTTCCGCGGCGGGTCACTTTCGCTGCCTGAGGTTCGACGTTTACGCGATCGTCCCTTCCTGTTTTCTTTGGGCTCGCGTTTTCGTTTTCGAACTTTCGATTCTCTGGAAATTTTCATAATAAAATTATGTTAAAACTTTGTTTTACTACAAAAATCTAATAAAATTTCAGTCATAAGTTTAATTAAAATTTTTATTTTTTCATTTACCTAAGCATAAAACTTGAGAATAACTGGACCAATTCAGCTAATTTTTTTTTAAATATTTGTTTCAGTTAGAGGAAGGTTCCTAAAAAAATTGCAAAATTGCCCAAAAAAAGTAAATCTCCGTTTTTCTGTTTCCCATACAAACTGTTAAGAACAACAAGGGCTGCCAATTCAAACTATTCAATCAAATATTCCTGTTTATTGGTGGCATAAAGGACACAGCATTTGCCAATTAAAAAAAAAAAATAGATACTCGTACGTACCCTTCCTCCCTGGGCGCTTCGCTGTCGCTGGGCGAGTCAGAGACGTACTCGTCGCGACGGCGGCCGCGGCCCTTGGGCTTCGGTTCTGATGGCATTTCCGCGAATAGGAGGGCGTTCTTCGTCTTCTCCTTGTATTCCTGCCGTTTTTGCAGCATTTCCACTGTGCTCTTTTGCTGTTCCTCTTCGCGGCGACGCCTCTCTTCTTCCTATAAAAACCATACCCGTATGAATTCTAAACATTTATGCGATTTAGTAAATATAATCTTAATCGAAGGAATTCAAAACAAACATACCCCAGGAGGGTACTAAACTTTGTGGAAAATCCTTCTCTGAACAATGTTTTTCGGAACAGAGCTCACGCTGCCCCACGGATGCGGAGGAGTCTCGCACTAATGTATTAACTACACAAAATAAGGAAACGAGTGACCCAAAACCTAACGTCGCTCAGGAAATATTTCACAGAGGAATGTTCTTAAACAGACCCAGATCATACTCATTCAGAGAGCTTTTGACTTTACCTGAAGCTGAGGTAATCGAAATAACCCTACAACCAAAAAATTTGAGAAAACATAAATTCATACGGAACAAATAGTTATAATAACTTGACACACAAAACTGGCATATATGGCAAAAGGCTAGTCCTGAAGCAATGACACGGAATAAAAAACAAATGAAGCTTGGTAATTATTGACTTTCAAGTCCGATATCAACTTCAAATAGCTTTTAATAAAAACTGGAAAATACTAACCAATCGAAAACCACAGAGTACAAACCACAAAATGTAATTAGACCTTTACCTTTTTTTTGACAGGGTAAACAATATCCAGCCCCTTACTAAAATGTAGCAACTGGTGACTATAAAATCAAAATATTACAGAGAGAACGTGTGAAATTCTAAGCAAAACCCCCAGAGCCAGAACCATCTCGAGATATCATACTCGTAAGAAACTTGTGGCTGACATAACCGTGAGAGAACATCGTAAGATGAAGAGAAAATGACAACAAGGAAATAAAAGAAGAAAGGAAACAAACAGACAGACAAACAGTTAAAAGTCTTATAATTTAATTATACTAATTAGTATGTATTTTGGTTTTAAGAAAGCTGAAGACTGTTAAATATTTAATTATGCTAAAGAAGTAATAAAAGATTCTAAATAAATACATTTAAAACTAGTTTTATTCCAAAATACAACCTGATATTTGATAGAATAACAACTCTGTCAGATATTCTACCACTCTGTCACGACAATGTCTCCTGGTTTTAAAATTTATATGGCCATTTTTATATTTTGTTATGAATAGTACAATTTCGGAAAAATTACATTAAAAATAGTTAACTATAATATAGTCTACGACATTAATATTTCTGTGCTAGAAGTGGTTAAAATTGAATTATAGCAAAAATATACTTCAAACTAGTTGCAATTGTGACAGAGTGGTATAAGATTAAAAATATATTATTATTTATTATTACATACGGAAGTATTGCTTTGTAAGTTTTCTAAAAGAACCATTTGATTATTATTATAACAAATAATTTGCAAGCTATCTGAGTTAAACTATTTGATACAAAAAAATAAAAAATAAAAGATATTGTGACGAAGGTGTACAATTATTAGTCCAATCCATCTTTAAGGCCTTGAAAATCTTACAAAAATTTGTAAACTTCGCGGCCAACAACTTTTTCAGATAGAATAGATATTCAGCTATCACAAAACATATAACATTTGATTAGAAAGCGTTATAATTTTTTTGGAAATTTAAGTAAAAATTTTAACAACATGTAGGTTAAAAAAAGAATGACCCGTATAAGAAGACCTACACGCGAGGACTACGGGAACCAGGGTTGTCCTTCTCCCTTCTCTTTACCCAACACGATTATAATAATATTAAAATGCAATGTACCTAATATATTTTTCAAGTGGTTGTATTGAGATGGGCCGCTGTAGTGGTGTAACACAAAACGTACCTGTTGGCGGCGGAAGGCCTCGCGCTGCTCGCGCTGGCGGTCGCGCAGCGTGAGCTCCTCGTCGTGTTGGCGGCGCGCGCGCGCCACGTGCCACTGCGCCTGCGACAGCAGGTCGGCGCACGTGCGCGCCTCGGCCGCCGCCGCCGCCGGCTCGTAGCGCGCGCGCTCGGCGCCGTCGGCGGGCGCGCCGGCGGGCGGCGGCGCGGCGCCGGGCGCGGACGCGGCCGCGTCGGCGGCGGCCAGGCGCAGGAAGTACTTGTGCGAGAGCTGCAGCTCGTGCACGGCGCGCAGCACGGCGCGCAGCTCGGCGCGCTCGTCCTTGAGCACGTGCGCGGCGAGGCGGCGCAGCGCCAGCGCGGCGTTGTACAGCAGCGCGGAGTCGTGCGGCGCCACGCGGCGCGCGCGCAGCAGCGCCGCCCGCGCTGCGCGCGCGCGCCCCGCCAGCGCCTGCGCGCGCGCCACCCACGTCAGCCACTCCACGTCATGGTGCATGCGGAACTTGCGGATGCAGTTCTCGTACTGCAATACCACCGTCAAGCGTTACTACTCGCTCACTCAACCAGAAAGCACATGTCTGGAGTGACTTTCCGGGATGGCGACATGCCCAACAGATGTCCTCAATGCCATCCTTCAGAATGTGCTTTCGGTAATTGCTCTTCTTAACCACCTGATCCTGTATTGCACAGACAAAACCCTCGGTCTCTTCGAAGAGATCACCGGACTGTAGCCAGTGGACGGAGGTCTTCGTGTTGACGTATGGCCCGTGAAGGGCTTTGAAGAACCTTCCGTACAACTCCTTCTCTTTCCATACGCCCTCTCACTGAGAGGTACCCTGGACTTCGGGTTTTTGCCAGTCCTCTTTAGCCAGAGAAAGAAGGGTGAATCCTTTGTCACATTCTATGACCTCTCTATGCAAACCCTCGTCTCTTTTTTGTAGAAAATATTTCCTGAAGTTGTCAATCTCACGGTTGTGCATGGTTTTAACGCTTAATAAGCCTCAACCACCAGCCTTTCGCAATATATACAGCCTCATGACTGACGATTTTGAGTGATGCATTCTATAAAGGGAATATCCAATCCAGGGTTTCGAGATCGGTTTGAGACCATCTGAGCACGCCAAAAGTGTAAAGGAGTACGAGTATGACCCAGCCGTTATAAGCTCGGATTTTATTGGCGCCCGACAAGGAACTTTTCAGTATTCTTGTAATGCGCGTAAAAAATTCTTCGCGGACTGACGGTTTCATATCCGTCTCCCTCACACCGATGTTTTGTGACATGCCCAGATACCGGTATGTTTTAGCCTCGGAGAGGGTTTTGATATTAGAGGGATCTGTGACGGTCACTTCAGTTTGAGTGACCCGTTCCCTCTGCAAATGGAGAACCGCGCACTTGTCTATTCCGAGAGCCATCCTAACAGAGCTTCTATAATAATTTACGATATTTAGCAGCTCCGTCAGGCGTTCGACGCTCGGAGCTAGTAGTTTCAAGTCATCCATGTACAGAAGGTGAGATACTCGTGTACCTCCTCTCCGATATTGAAATTCAGTCCCTGAATTCTCCAGTGAGAGAATTCAGAGACAGGCAAAACTTAAGTGGACTCAAACAATCGCCCTGGAATATTACCCTCTTGATCTCAATCCGGTCAGCGGTATCCGTCAATCGCTCACTTTGGATAGTCAGGATCGTCGTCCACTGCCCCATGCATGCCTCCAAGAACACTCGAACTGTATCGTCGATCTTGTACAGATCGAGTATCCTCCGGAGCCATGAATGGGCACGGAATCGAACACCTTTTTATAATCTATCCAGGCGGCGGAGAAATTTCGACGGTTCTGCTTAACCACGTGGCCAGAGACAGCATCAATGAGGAGCAGCTCTTTCGATCCGCGGCTACCGCCACTGCATCCGTTCTAAGCGTTAGATAGGAACTTATTTTCGTACGCATGACGAGAGATCTTAACGCTTAGAATGGATATTAACGTCGTATATTGTTGTAAGACAAGTGATGGGGCGATATTTAGATGGATCCGCGGTATCGTCCGTCTTGGGAGCTAAATGAGTGATTCCGGTTGTAAGGAAGTTCGGGAGCGCCCTGTTTTCGAGGGCACTTTGGAATTGCACGGTTAAGGTCGCATGGCTGGCCGAGAACGTCTTTAACCAGTAGTGCTGCAATCTGTCGATCACCGGATTTTTCCAGTTTGGGGCCCGACGGATCGCGGCAACCACGTCTCAGGAATGGCAATTCATGGGCGAAACAGTATACTCTGTTATGTCCATGGTATTACTCATGTCTATAGGCGACGGTTACCACTTTCCATCAGGTGGGTCGTCAGCTTGTTTGCCATTCTAAGAGGTGTATATATATATATATATATATATATATATATATATATATATATATACCTATTATATCTATAGCGACTAAACATTTATCATCAGACCAACAAATAAGTTGACGAACTTGATTACCAATTCAAATTATATGATAAAAAATAAAATAGTTAATGTAAGTCAAGTTAGCAACTATTTAGTGTTACAAAATATAACAGATGAAACCCCTTCACTGAATTAATTACACATTTCATTGGCGCAAAATGGATTGTGCAACATAGGTATATGACAATATAGTGTTATTAATTAGCTCACCATTTGTATTGCGTTGATGTACTGTTTCTGCTCGACGTAGATGTGCGCGATGTTCATCCAAACTTCGGGGAAGTCGGCCGTGGCCTCGCGTACTTGCGCAAATATATCGCGAGCTTCATTTATACAACCCTGTATAAGACACATTTCATAAAAAATTAATTTGCAATGATGTTAGTAAATTACTAAATCTTAAATTCTAAGGATGAAAATTTTAAAATAGGAAAGTGATTGTATAATACAGGATTATTATATTCATAGTGGGTTATATTCGTGGAATATATAAGATTATAATATTGCGATAATGCAGTTTTTTTGTGTACATATTCTTGTGTAAATGGAATTCTCAAGTTTAGGTTATTGAGGTGTTCACACAACTTGCGTAAAAAATATGTAACTTTTTAATTAAAGTTGTCTATGAATAAATATTCAATATTTCCAAATCTGACTTTGAATTACAAATATTGAATTCTGAAACTATTTTGTTTCAACAATAAAGACAAAATTCGAAGACATTTTTTCTTCAATTTGAATAAATTTTGGATTAGCATCCATACTTGCATCTTGTTAATAATGTTCACTGACATAATGATGGAAATATGTTTTCCTATTTTTAGAAATGTCTCAATTCTCACAACACATTACACTTCGATTGCTTGGAAAGTACACATACCTTGTGAGCTAAAACACAACCAATGCCATTAGCTGCCCATATATTTTTCGGGTCATTTTTGAGCACTTGTTTGTACATGGCCAGTGCACGTTCTTGATGCCTCTTTTCTCTATCTTTCTCGCGGCATGGCTGGTGTAGCGTTTGAAGCCAAACATTACCTACAGATTTTAAATATATCAAAATGGAAAGATAATATTTTAATAACATATTTTTAATATACTTAATCATTAAATCCCAGCACTTTGATACCACTGCATTTTGATTCCCAACAGATTTCCAAATATTTATTTATTTATTATTTATTATATTTCTCACCACAAACAATTAAGGACTTAACATCTATAACTTGCAAAACATTTTAACAATATTATTTGTGGGAGCTGGTGCCTGTACTAGGTATTAAACCTGTATTACAAGTCACCAGGACCCTTACCTCGAACAGTACAAATTATACAAATAAAAACTTTCACAAAAAAAAAAGGTGATGGTGAGTACATAAAAAATTCAGATACAGCGCGTATACAAAATAAATAGCTTTCGGTATGTATAACATTAAAACAAAAACAAATTATATGCTAGGGTAAATAAGAATGCATTAAAATATAAGTAAAAAAGTGTGACACGAGTTTATGTTATAGAGTGTATGTTATGTATGTGTATTTGTATCTGAACGTGTGACTATATATGAGTTTGTTCGGTGTGTGAGTCAATGTATGTATATGTGTATGTGCGCATGTGTGATTGTGTGCGTGTGCGTGTATGTAAGTGGTTTTATATTCATATATCTTAGATTATCTGTTTTAAAAGATCTTCTGTTTTATCATAATTTTGTTTTTGGAGCCAATTTTTAACTGAAGTTTTGCACTTGTAATAAGTTAGAGCATATATAGAAATTACATTATGCAATTTATTATACAGAAAGGGGGCAAGATAAGAGAAAAATCTTTGGCAGAAGGATTTCTTACAAACAGTACTTTTAATTACAAGATGATTACGCTTTATCATAAAAGGATCGAAATTAGTCAGTTTGTGTTGCTTCAAAACTACTGATAGAATAAATAATTGTCTAACAGTAAGAACATTTGAGATTTTATACAATTCTTTTGTGGGATATAATAGTGGTTTAAAATAACAGACTTTAAGTACCGCTCTTTGTGCGCGTTCAATTTTTATGAAGTGCGATTTGGTAGCACCACCCCAAATAGAGATGCCATAGTTCAAAATGGATTGACATAATGTAAAATAAACCAACCGGATTATGTGTGTATCAGCAGAAAGACGCAATTGTTTAAATATATAGATAAGTTTACGTAATCTAGTAGATAAGATTTCAATATAAGGTTTAAAAGATAGATTTTGATCTAAGGTTATACCAAGATATCTAATTGAACTCGTGCTATCCAAGCAAAATACCCTGGGAACCGAAGAAGACCCGTCATACCCCTCGTTGAAAACAATTTTATATTTATTTGGTGGTGGTTGAGTAGAATTACGTATTGTAAAAGTCATGAATTTAGTTTTATTAAGGTTAAGAGTTAACAAATTATCATTAAGCCACCCACAAACACAGTTAAATCCTTTCTGAGCTATCTCAAAGGCAGCGGACCAGTTATTAGATGTAAACACTAATACAGTATCATCTGCATAAGATAAAATTCTACCATATTCGAGTTCTAGGTCACACAAATTATTAATGTAAATCAAAAATAAACTTGGACCCAGTATGCTCCCCTGAGGAACTCCATAAGTGACAGGTTGGTAGGAACTAGTAAGAGTGCCAATTTTTACACATTGAGAACGACCTATAAGGTAGGATCTAAATAAGGATAGTTGCGCATCCCGTATACCAATATTTTCGAGTTTATCAACTAATAAAGGTATCGAAACGGTATCAAATGCTTTAGCCAAATCAAGGTATATTGCTAAACATTTTTTATTATCGTCAAGACCTGCAACCACATAATCAACCAATTCATGAATGGCATCACTGGAAGAAACATTTTTTCTGAAACCAAATTGGTTCGGAGATAAGATATTTTTAGACACAAGATAACTTGTTAATCTATAATTTATAATACGTTCTAAAATTTTGGACATGGAACTAAGTATCGAAATTGGTCTATAATTATTTACACAACTACGATCTCCCGTTTTATGTATTGGATGAACAATAGCTTTTTTGAAAACGTCGGGAAATATACCGGATTTTAAGCTGAGGTTGCAAATATGAGTAAGCGGTGAAATGATAATATCTTTATATTTTTTTAGTAGTCCTACAGAAATACCATCCCATCCAGTTGCACAGTTATTACGAAGAGAGTCAATGAGTCGAGCCACCTCAAGCTCATCAGTTTCAACCAGTACAAAGGAATCTAGAGTAGACGATTCATGTCTATTTCTATTTGCTTTACTTGAAGTGCAAGATGTTTCTGCTAATTTCTTTCCAGTGTTAGCAAAGAATTGGTTAATATTATCTATGCTCTCTTGAGGATTGTTTTGAGAGCAAAGTAGGTCAGTTGCTATAGAATTGGTTTTATTGATATTGACGATATTTTTCATGACATTCCATACTTGCTTGACGTTGTTTCCAGCCTTCCGAAGCTCTTGTTTTTCATATAATATTTTAGCCTTTTTTATTATAGTGTTACAAAAATTACGGTACCTTTTATAAGTGACCTGTAATATAGCATCATCAGGCGCTTTTCTTAGTTTTTTATGTAGCCGATCCCTATTGCACATGCATTTTAACATGCCAGGAGTAATCCCAGGTTTAATAACACTTCGTCTACGAGAAGAGATACTTAGTTTGGTATTATTAGATAAGGCTAACTGGATTTGTTTAATTAAATATGAAGCTGCTGTATTTGGATCATTAGTGGAATAAATTAGAGTAAAATCTATTTTTTTTAGAGCACTAGCAAGCCCTTCTTCATTAGTTTTATAAAAATAATTCTGTTTGTATATTAGTTTCTCCATACAAACAGAACCTAAAATTGCAAAATGGTCTGTTATAGTAGACTGAATAATAAGTGTTTTTACTGGATATCTTGATTTTATCAAGAAATGATCTATACAGGTTAGTTTATGAGTAGGTGAAGAATATCCTGGAAGAAGGCCATAATAAGAAATTAGTTCTAAATAATCAGTCGAAAATTGATCCTTACTCGATGGAGATATGTCTATATTAAGATCACCAACCAAATTAACATTCCTATATGACTTAAGTCGTTGGAAAATAGTACCCAGTAGTAAATATGTACCAGTAGTAAATATGGTAAGCCCATTTAAGATTTCAATGAATTACTTACCGAGAGCGATCAGTGAGTAGGCGTCGTTTGATGTAGAGGATATTTGGAGAATTCTTTCAAATTTCTTCTGCCCTGGTCCCCATTCCTGCTGAGCCAGATGGAGATTCCCTAAGAGTGACCAAGTATCTGGATGTTCTGTGTTCACTTTGAGTGCTTCTTTGAACCAGTCAGACGCTTCATATATCTGACCCTTATCACGAGCCATACAACCTAGCCTTTAACGATAAGAAGGTAATATAGTATATGTAAATATAGATATTAATAATAAAAGTTTTATGTCTCTCCTCGCATAGGTTTAAATTACCTCCTTAAAAATTTTAATTATGTAAACAAGCTACAATAGATAATAGTATAATTTGCTTTTATACGAAAATTTATAAAGGTTGGAAATTTATTACTAAATAATGCCAAGATGGTTGATTGAAATTTGATTACATTTTGTGTACAATTGCTACTCCCGATTAACTCATTAATTATTTTTTTATTCTTATCTATGCGGCGACATAAACTAAGATTTTAGAATAATAGTTTTATAATTTCGTTGTTAACTATTTATCGTATTACTCTGTGTCAGCATGACTGTCCTTCAATATATAATATCAACCAGATATCCTTTCAAATAGCCAAAAATAGCGGAAAAAATAATGCAACACTTTCACAGTAAATTTCTATTTTAATTACTATAACACTACGCTTTAATATTATATTTTTTAAGTTTAAGTTAAAGATCTAAAATAATTAAATGTTAGACAAGAATCTGAAAATACCTTAAATAACAGTCGACGTAGTTCGGATGCTCTTTTAATATATCCTTATATAGCTTCTCAGCTTTATTGTATACACAGAGTGCTTCATTCAATCGTGCCAAATTATACATGGTTGTAACTGCTATAGAGTTGTAATACTGGGCGTCAAGTGTTTCCGCATCAGCTTTTTCTCTGCAAATAAGTTTCAATAATGAAAAATATAACTTAAGACTCTTTTTAGAGATGTATGAATGTGTGTTTGTCAACATAAATGGCTAACAATGGTTTATTGGCTACAAATAATATATATAAATGTTAAAATACATATATAATATATATAAAAAGATATTCATAATTCATTATAACCATACCTTTCTAAAGCCTCCTCCAGATATTTTTTAGCTTCATGCAGATTCCCGAGCCGATAATGCAAGGCGGCGACATTGTTCAAAATTTCCGCTGGAATATCAGCGTTTACTTTTTCTTTCAATATCTTCATTGCAGTACTATAAGCATTTAAGGAACCCTAGAATTGTACAAATTTGTTATTTTAAGAACTTATCAAACTTATAAAATAATCATAAAATTAAAAAAAAGAGGCAATTTGACAAATTTTTCATGAGTCAACTGATTAATATTTTATGCTAGAAAAAGCATTGGGAGTAACTCTTTCGATTAAAAATTATTATCCGAATTGATTCACAACAGGATGAGATCGTTCAGGTATATGAAATTCTCAAGTTGATCATATTTTATTAACCACAACATGACAATGCATTTATTGGGCGTTTTTATACTTTTCCGTGGAACTTCACGATATCGTACGTTTTTATCGTCACGGTACAATGGGCGTTTTTATTCTTTATCGTGCACGATTTATCGTCAACGTCCAAGTTATTATCATGCAGTTCCACGATATTTCAGCCTTTTTTTTTATTATTATATGTTGATTTAATTTTCATGTATATTTGTTTATTTGTTTAGATAAAAATCTTGCAATCTAAATTAAAACTAATTCATCTTAACCGATTTTGCTGTAATTTTGCCTTAAAATTAACCATATAGCTGTGTTTAAATTTATGGGAATCCCCCTAGGAGGAAGCAGTGTGAACACGTACCTGGGAACATCGCCTCAGTTACACATACTTAATGTTTTTGTACATATATACTAGTCGCGCAATTGCCGCCACGACCTTACAGGGAGCCTAGATGTTTTAAGATATCGCCGTAAAACGTGCACGTTAAAAATTATAATCTGAAGAGCAGCGCAGTCAGGCACATGCATACACACATAGACATAATACACGCGCAGAGGGGGGAAAGGGATTGTTAGTAATGGAGACTGAGAATCCCATTGCTAGCAATATACCCAACCAGGTCGACCTCCTCGCGGTTCTCCCTGGAAACTATCATGGTTAATTCCTGATGAATTCATCATGATGGGCTAACTGGCCTGTTTTCATTCTCATCTATCACCCTTCACTGGTGCTCCGCCAGCGTATCCCGTTAGCGCAGGCGGAGTTACCATACCATTTTCACCCATAAAAAAAAAAATACACGCGCAGAATTGCTGCGACAATCTTATAGGAGGGCCTACGTCCGCCACGGATAGATTACGGCAGTGCCGTGATTGTGCACGACTACATTTATATTGTATGGAATACTTAAAAACGTCTCTATACAAATAGATACATTTTGCTACCCCATTGTATCGTGACGATAAAAACGTACGATATAATGAAGTTCCACAGAAAAGTATAAAAACGGCTAATAGTTCTGTTCGATCAAAACTGCTACTATTCTCTGACCAAATATTAATCAAATTCATAGATGGATTTTTTTTTTTCAAATAAATAAGTAATTATTATGCTACAATAAATAAATACAACTTGTAATACCTGTAAATCATTCTGTTCTAATATCTGGGCTAACTCGATCCACGCTTCTACGTCGTCAGGAAACTGTTCGGTTACTTTCTTAAGATGTTGCCGAGCAATATCTCGTTTCGACTGAGACGGTGAATTGGCGTATAGAGAGCCAAGGATCTTCATGGTCTCATAGTTACCGGGCTGGGCTTTTAGAACCTTTTCGAAGCACTGCGCGGCCTACAAATATATAAAATTTAAATATTAACACAGTATAATGGTGTATAACCAATATGTTGTTTGTTTTTTTCCGTTTTACAAATAGAAAGCAACCCTTGCATAAAATTTTGCGAATATCGAATTAGTCATGCATGTGTAAGAAGGAGATTTATGGACTGTCAAAAACTTGTTACAAGTCAAAAAAAATCTGTGATTTTTGTGAACAAAGATATTTAATGTCCTTACATTTTCTGTATCTCCTCTATAAATATACATCTGGCCGAGCCCATAGTGTGGCAGCACGAAGTTGGGCGGCGCAAACTGTGTGGCCTGATAGTAATACTGGAAAGCCTGATCGCAATCGCCCTGCGCGTGAAACGCTCGCGCGAGGTGGTGACAACTCTCGGCGCGCATCGCCTCGTTTTCCGTGTTGTGGAACGCGTGTAAAGCGAGATGTTGAACTTTGCTGTAGTCCTAGTAACACAAAAAAACAATTTCCTCATTATATGTACAATCGATTAAGCATTATTATTTAATATTATGGATTTTTCTGTATATTAGTAGAAAAAATAATTTCTAATAATGACATGCCAAATTTGTTTACAAAACATCTTAAATGGAATTAAAACCAACTCAAAATTCAACTCACCTTTTTGAAGAAGAAATGATTAGCTAAGTGATTTAAAACCATAGGATTCTTGGGATCGATAGCATATGCTTTCGACAACATGATAACTGCTATCTTGTTTGACTCATTTTCTTGTAGATTGAGTTTTAAAATTGAGAGGCCTACAAGGGCTCCAACACATTGTGGATCTAACTGCAGGGCTCTCTCAAATGCCATTCTGAAAAAATAAATAAAAATATATTTTGCTTTGTATAAATAAGTATACATGTAAGAATTATAAAGGCTAAAAAACTATCAAATACAGGATTAACTTACCTAGCTTTTTCTTGGTTGTTTAATTTCATAAAACAATGTCCCATGCCTAATCTGAGAGCGGCAGGGCTATCGGGATTTGTTCGAAGAGCCTTCTTGTAGAAAGCGAGGGCACCTCTGTAATCTTTGCGATTAAAGGCTATGCACGCTTTTCCAAGCAATGAGGGGACATTATTTGGCGACTGATTGAGCACAAAGTTGAACTGTGCATCTGCCTGTTCCATTTTGTCACCTTCAAGTAAACAAAAATATGCTCGACCGAGAAGATGGTTCTAAAACATATTGGAATTATTTAGGTCAGTGTCTGGCATGTTTTAAACATAAAACAAATTAATATTGTTAAAATTTTGTGGGCCCTGGTTGCCTTTATTAAAGAATTTATTTATTATTATTATATTTATAATAAGATTACACAAAATTACATTGTGAGACAACAAACTAGCGTATCTTGGTTTTTTATAATATTTATTTTATCTTGTCCTGTACAAATAAAATATTTTATTTAGACATATATTTTAGTTATATACTATTTGTACAATATTTAATATTTGTAAATCAGTTAATAATACATATAATAAACATGTACTATTAACTAGCTGAACCAGGTAACAATGTTATACTCTATCAAAAATAATGAGTGTCATTTACAGTCAATACAATGAGATTAATATTATCCAATCTCTCAAGTTGAACAATACAAATTTACAATATTACATTAAAATTAGTTGAGCAGTTATGGTAATTTATGTAAATAAAAAGTACATTTGATCTGGAATACAATATGTGTAATGCCTTTAGTTATACTATAAATATAAAAAAAAAAACAAATTACCTGATCATACATGATGATTTTGTCTGCCATTGTATATAAGAGTGTAGCTTTTGTAAACAATTCCTTCTTTTTATCTTTTGATTTCTCTTTGTTCGCCTCCTGAACATAATATGCGGCCAGCATGTCGAGGGCTCGCATTTGATCCCTTTCAAAGTCTCGATAGTCGATGTTGGCGTCCACTCGGGACGCCTCCAATATTTTAAGAAAGTCATCGATTTTCTTTTGTTTATAATATGCAAGCTAAAATAAAATTTATACACGAACACCATTAGTATTTATGGGTCTTGTAAATGGGTCTTAATTCTTTTATAATTGATCATTTATAGAAAATTTTGAGAAAGTCTGACTGAGATGGAGTCAGTATTTTCGAAATGGCTCCTAGAATATATCGTCATAGTCGAAAAATACTGACGGATCTATATATGTAATATTTGTTAGATTCGTCAGTATTCTACGATTATGACGATATAACAAAATATCTAAAGGAATAAAACCTATCGACAATATATAATAAGACAATATATAATATAAGAGAATATAAAATAACTATAAAAAATATATTTATTGGAGATAAATTATTACAGTATTGAGGTATTTCTTAATCATCATAATCATGTTTAAAAAAATGGATATGTATAATCTGGTAGCAACTAATACACAAATTAAAACAATTTTTTATAATGAGTGAAAATGGAGTGGCAACTCTAACTGCGCTATCGTTATGTGCAGGGCACCAGTGATAGATGATAGGTGAGGATGAAGGCAGGTCAATTGACCCATCGTGAAGTTACAACAAGAGTTAACTACGATGGTTTCCAGGGGGAACTGCCTGGAGGTCAACCTACAGGGTATATTGTTGGCAATGGGGCTGATAGAATCTATTATTAACAATCCTTTCCCCCAAAAATCAAACCAGTTGTGTGATCCCGGCATAGAATAGACCACCCTTTCCTTTCCTGTGGGTGTCGTAAGAATCAACAGAAGAAGACTTTGTTAAATTATAAAGTGTACTAATATAGGTAGACTTTACATTTTATTTTATTTTTATTTTATTTATGCTTTATTGACCACATTACAAAAAAAAAATGACTGGTACAAAAGTACTTTAAGTAAAAGTACATTACATACAGTTATAACACATTAATATAACATAAACTGATTTAACCTACCTAGCATATTTTATTTTGTAATATCATATATTTAGGACATATTAGTTGTCTACAGTTTGTAGACAGATACTTAAAGTTCTTCAGACACATTGTCAAATGAAATTCAATCTACAAAGCACAAAATAGTATAGGTGGTGGCACAGACTACAAATCGTAATCACATGCCTCAGCCACGATATGAAGAAGAAAACACAGTGCAACAACAAGCTATGAGAATTGTTGATGATCCCAGGCTTACAAGTGGTATCGAACCCTTAAGTCTTAAGAAAGATTTAGCTCAGAGGAATTGTTCAATATGTCGTCAATATGTGTAGCCCTGGTATTGAAGGCATTCATAGGCTATGGTAACTGCTTACGATCAAGTGGGCCATATACTTGTTTGCCACCTCAGTGATATAAAACAAAAAAAAAGAATATTGAATAGTTACATATAGAACCACCTAGTTTCAGATTCATTGGTCATTACCTACAATTATCAGCCAGATTATTATTTTACGTTACTTGATTAGTATAAATGTCCATTAATTTATGATTTGAAATCGTAAACCTATGGCCATTGAGCCAGTGAAATTACGACTAGAGATTATATCATAAAATGAATAGTTAGTATACTTACCGCGACATTGATCCAAACATTAAGTTGAGATCTTTCCTGTTGTAATATGCCGAGGACTTCATCTCCAGAGGGCAATTGATCAGGATCTAGCTCAATCACCTAGGAAAAAAATTAAATTATAATTCCACTAAGACAGTCTATCACTATGGACATAATTCTTCAACGCAAAAAGTAATTACCTCATCTGTACTCATTAACGGAATTTCGAGCGACATTTTGATAGTTTATTCACTTCAACAATTATATCATAAGTTCAAATTATAAGTCATTTTAATGAAATTAAATAAAGCACAAAATAAAAACAACCGACCACGAGCAACGCTAATATCAAAGAGAAATATAGTATAAGTACAGATTACAGAGACTAAAGAAAATAGACCAAAGATTTCAGAATAGAATAGATGTAATGCATAATTCACATAGTGTGTTGCTCTTTGGATTTACGTCATTACCAATGAGTTAGAGAGGGATAGACATAAACACATTCATTTTGAGTAGTCCGTAGAAGTAAAATTTCATCAAGATATGTCAGTTTCTTTTTCTTTTTTTTTTGTATTTTTTTTTTTTTTTTTTTTTTTTTTTTTATTGATCGTATAACCCTATCAAATTCAGAGACAACCTGCTTGCATACTTTCTACATAAACAGTGTCGAATATATAATCTAGTAATGTAAAATTTGTTATTGACAAATAATTGACATATCAAACATTTTCTATACACTAGCTTGTATATTTGCATAAGAAGAAAGGAGGCAACCACATGATTTAAAGCTTTTATTTTATCATTCCTTCTATGTAATTCCTTGTTCTTAGATTTAGACAACGACTGTCTGTAACTGGCACATAATGTTACAGTGAAACTACATCACCTATTTTTTTATTGCTCTGAATGTGTTATCCAACGAAGTTTGACGAACTTCAAATTATCATCAAAAAACTCGAGAATATCCTGCGCTCAATCCCGCATCTCTTAAGATTTCCTTTATGTTTCAAAGCTATTTTCACTTATATTACTACAACATTCAAAGAGTTATAAGAATACTTTTATTGAAAGCAAGACAATGAATTTTTTTAATTACTTATTTTTTATTCGATTTTCTTACTTACATTTACAACTTAAATCCACTGGTTTAATAAAATTCAAAAAAGAAATTTATGAAAATGTACTTACCGGATCTGACAAATGAAATATTGAAAACTATGACTGAATAATTGAAGCGTTCAAAATTTAAAAAAACATTAGAAAAACTCAATTTCAGACAAATTATCATATTGAAGACTAGGCAGCATGGTCTCCGACCTTAGCCTGTCACACAACGGAACAAACGTACTTAAAAAAAAATGTTACAGTGAAAATGTCACGGGATATTGAAGTTTTTAAATTATGTTTACAAACATTTATTTTTCAGATTTTTACTAAATTTTAGTATTAGATAATACGACGTAATTGCTTTGAAGTAGGTTCTTACTTGTCACCACTATACTACCACCACTAAATAAATAGTGATAGATAGTTTTCAGCGAGTACTCTGAGTTATCAGTCGGCGGCATATATTACAGTTTATAAAAATATTTGTATAAATATAAAAAATATGAACAATATAACAGGTAAAAGGATTACATATAAGCGTACACGACCAAATCCCCTGTTTCAACATTGGCTTGAAGAACTGTATGAAGAAGCAAAAGAAAAGAAAAGCAAATTAGAACCTATGCTAAAGGAAGCTTTAGACTCAATATCAAAGTACCCTTTGCCGCTGCAAACTGGAGCAGAATGTGCTATTCTAAAAGGTTTCGAAAAAAAGCTGTGTATATTTTTAGATAGACGATTAGCAGTTTATCTGAGTAATAATAGCGAAAACGCGGAAAGTGCGCCAGGAAGAATACAAAGTAATCAGTCTAAGCATAGTTCTGTATTTATCAATAAAAATCAACCACTGAATAGTCACATACAAAATAAAATTCCAATATGTTTACAAGTAAATTCTATCAAAAAAGGAAATTGTTCTTCAACTGATTTGTTGTCAAATAAAGTATCAAGCAATTTATTAGCACCCACAAATGCATTAAAAAAGTGTAAACAAAAGGTGTATAAACCAGCTTACAGATCAGGAGGTTATGCTATTTTGTTAGCATTATTAGAAAATAGTCAAGAAAATCCTGAGAAACCATCACTAACAAAGGAGATGCTAATTGATAAGGCCCAAAAATATAGTGAAGAATCATTTATTAGACCAAAGCCAGACACATTTTACACAGCTTGGACGAACATTAGGAGATTGGTTAGTAAGGGTTATGTGTTGAAAAGTACGAATAAAAAAATGGAGTACATGTTAACTAAGGAGGGAATTTCTTTAGCTGAAGAGTTATTGAAGGATTCAGTAGACAAGCCTACAGTGAATGATATAATTTTTAATGATATGGTCACTAGTTCTAATACTGATATTGAATCTAGGATCATAGATCTAGATACAGTTGATGAACCATCCTTAACTAATTGTCAGTCAAGTCAAGGACTATTGAATAATAAATCCCCAGACAATAACACAGATGTAAATGACACTGTGTATATTGAGATGCTACCAGGAACTTTTGATATTATATTGTTAATTGATAAAAATGAAACTGGAGGGTATGTATTTTAGTTTCTTAATAATGTCATTATAAATATATTGTAATATTCATAATTATGCTCATGCGTGTCTAAGTCCATAAGGTGTTTTGCTTCTAAATATTCATTATAAGATCTCTGATATATCAAAGATTAAGAGCTTAACAAGAGATCGATAGAGTTTTTGCTGTATTGCAGCAGAAAATTAAATTAAGGTGGATAGTGACTTTTTCTGTGTGATTCACAATAGCATTCTTATTTTATATAAGTACTTTGTATGGCTTTGAAGAAAGCTTTTAAGAAGTTAAAACATGTTAAAAACAATAGTACTTTTGTCTATATTTAAAACTCATATGAAAATACCAAATAAAAGAAAATATTTTCAGGGTGACAAAGAAAAATGATCCTACAGTGGCCCAGTTTAATAAATATCCAGATCTTAAACATGAATATAGAAGTTTGAAAGTAGGTGACTTTACATGGATAGCCAGGAGTAACATTAATAAAGAACATGAACTTGTGCTTCCATATGTCATAGAACGGAAAAGAATGGATGATCTGGGAGCAAGTATAAAGGATGGAAGGTTCCATGAACAGAAATTTAGATTAAGAAAATGTGGCATAAAGAATGTAGTTTATATGGTGGAGAATTATGGCAAAAACAAACATGTAGGTCTACCAATACACTCTTTGATGCAGGCTTTGTCAAACACAAGGGTGCAGGATGATTTCAAAGTTCACATTACTGATTCATTAAGCAATTCAGCTAGATTCTTAGCTATGATGACTAAAAGATTGACTATAGAGTATAAGGTAATCATTTGAGAGTTGTATAGTTTTATACCTAGAATATTTCATATTGATTCCACTTACATATTAATAGTAAAATTATTATAACTTGCTCTAAAATGTTTTACAAGTTCTATAAATTATTGCTTACATACAATTAAACAGGTATAATTTAGACTAGCTTCTTGCCTCGTACTTCATATGCTTCTACATGGCTTATCAAGATAAGTGATATCACATAGATTTAAGTTTTTTTTTAATGGATGAAAATGGAATACTAACCCTGCCTGCGTTATCAGTATATACTGATAGGGCACCAGTGAGAGATGACAGGTGAAGATGACAGCAGGTCAGGTAGTCTATTGTGATGAATCTAACAGAAATATATCACTATGGTTTCCAGAGGGAACCATACGGAGGTCGACCTGATAGAGTATATTGCTAGAATGGGATTGTTAGAATTCATTACTAACAATCCCTTTTCTCTGAAAGGTTTAAGACATTGTCTAGTCATAATTTTATTATATTAGTAAATAAAAGATAAGCTACAAAATTATCACTTTAATTTCAGAATAAACATTTAAAAGGAAGCAGCAATGAACCTTCAAATGAAAATCTGATGACATATCAATATTTCAATGTCACCTCATCAAAAACAAAACCACTTACTGTAAAAGAAACGTTTATAAAGTTACTATTACAGTTAAAAGGGATTTCTGTGGAGAAAGCAATAGCTATAACTAATGTTTATAGTACACCTGCATTACTGATGAAGACCTATCAGAATTATGAAGAGAAGGAGGCAGAAATTTTACTTGCCGATTTGAAATATGGTGATCAAGGTCGAAAAGTGGGACCTGTAGTGAGCAAGTCTATTTATCAATTGTTTTCTGACAAATTTACATTATAGTAATTATGGGTGATAGTATTATTTGATCTGTAATATTAGTGTCTATTTAGATCATGATGTATATATATACTACATATTGTAGACTGCCAATGAAATCACAAAAACAAGACAAGGAAATGGTTACACTAGTAGCATGTTTTATGAATGTGTACACTACATATTCTGAATTTGTATGGCATTAAAGTTGCAAAAATAGTAAAAATTAACGTCATAATCATCATCATATCAGCTAATATCTGTCCACTGCTGAACATAGTCCTTCCCCATTGATTACCAAGGAATGGTTCTGGGCCAAATATTGAGTGAAGACTAAGTGGTACCTTTAGAGCATTGGTTTCGGCATGATATAAAAAGTGCAGGTGAAGTTCCGTTCACTTCAAAAATTTTTTATCATTCAATAATTTGAGAAATATGTTTTTCATGTTTTAATAATATTCCTATATTATGTTTGATAATAGACAATTAATGCTGTATATTATTTAATGTTATATATAAGTAACAAGTATAATAATTATATTGGTTTGTCATTATTTTTTATTTAATGATCATATAGTTGATAGAATGAATACCTACATCTATTACCTAATATGACGAAAATCGATTTTATTTTGATTCAAAATTTCCAATTTCACTATTAAAGCAAAAGAACCTAAGTTGCACGAAATTCATACCTCTAGTTTCGTTATATATATTTTAAATATGTTTGTGCAGCACAGGTGTGGTCTGTAGTACCATAGTATAATGCCCTCGTCACTAAGTCTATGGGTCATGTAACGTGTGAAGAAAAAAGTACGCCTAGAATTTTCGCTTGCTTTGCAGGCCCCTTAATTTGTATTCTTTTTAGTAGGTAATTGGATAAATAAAAGAATGTCTCGGTATTTACCTTTATTAACATAACCATCGAGTGACATAAGAGCAGCAGTAACTATAGATGACAGGAAAATCTTAATAGTGGCTTGTAAACCCTTTTGAATACTTATCCATTATATAGTTCAGATTTAAGAGCACTTTAGGATGGAATCAACTTTCCCCAGTTTACAAATTGGCATGCAAATTTACTATACAAAAGAAAATAAAACAAAACATAAAGCATTGTTGTAGCACAAAAAAGTAACAGTATGTTTGTATATCGAAAATTTCGTGATTTTCAAACAACATTTTACACATATGCCGTCATATACCAATATATTAGTTATTTTTGCGATCATTTCTGCCAGCGTCAAATTAAAAGGTGATAAAAATTGTATCTTATCGAGTGATTTAATTTTGGACTTTTTTGTATAAAAACTTATGAGTTTTCATATAAAGGTATAACATTAACACTTGAGTTGTCAGTTTGCAGCATTGGATATAATGGCATTATAATTTATTCCTGAAGAAATATTGAATATAACTATTTATTTCTTTAGCATTGTTATTTGTTCCATCACTCATTTTATAATAATTTTATTCTATTAATAATAATTTCTTTTAATTTTGGCTGGCATATGTAAAAATGTTGCCATAATAAATATTTAAATCTTGCATGTTATATGCAAGCAATGATAAGATTACTGTTAATTAATTTTCTTAATTGTGCCACAACAATGTAGGTACTATTATTTTTAGACCCTTATTTTCATCATCACATTGCGTTGCCTTATATATTAACACTTAATAATTATTATATATACTTATGACTACATACATTGTTTTAAAGATTCAGTGCGCATTCAAACTGTCTAGTGTTATAACATCAAAACGAAAGACAGAAATATTGAAATCAATAGATGGCACAGTTTTTAATCTGCAACACTAAAAACTAAATTGCACAATTGCCATAATAGAAAAAAAGAAAAACTAAATAGTTGCTCTACAATTAATTATAAAGTCAATCATAATTTACAGATCACAATTTTTAATATATTTTACCATAGGTGCCAATAACATAAATCTGGACCCTCGTTATTCAAGCGGAGTATAAGATGTTGTCAATTTATCTGAGTCCATGTGAGACATCCTAGCTTGACTTGGTGAGTGGAACCATCTTAAGATCTTATAGTACAGAGATAACATTAAAACACGTGAAATCTGTGATATAAATGCTCGATTATACTAACATAAAATCTACCAAATATTAAAAAATGAGAATAAATTCGTGTAGATAGTAAATTTACAAACTATATCAGCCGTCACCATATTAAAATGGATTTATATCAAGTTGTCTCAACTAGAGTATCTTGTAAACCCTGTCCTTATTTTAAAATAGTAAAAATTCAGATCTAAGTGCACAAAAAAAAAAACAAATCAAAATAAAAATTCAGATCTAAGTGCACTGAAGAAAAGAGAAATCAATTTTAACTCAAGTTGCATGTAATTAGAGGGTTGAAGTGAAACTTAAAATATTCTTACAGAGTATGATAATTTCTTTCAGTTTGATTTTTATAGTACTTGAATCCCATGAAGCCGATGGCTAGCAGTCCGAGGGTTAGTATGATGCCTCCAAAGAAGCTGGGGCCGTCAAAGCTAGAAAAATAAGGGTTAAAATTACAAATTTTTGTATTACATATAAATGTTGCTTTTAAATTCTTTAACCTAAAATATTTAGTAAATATTTCACTGATAAATCACACACAGAATAAATTATAAGCATTGGTTTTTGGAAATTCCATGAGCATGAAGAGATAACGCTGGATTTCCTAATGTTATAAATAAAGATATTAAGATTTTAATAGATCATAAGAAGTACTTTTGTAAGCACAAGTTAAAAATTCGATTGTTTTTGTAATAATGGAGATTGACCTTGTAAGAAACAAGTCTTGAATATACTAGCGCTTACTTATTTTATCAGGCAGTTATATGTATTTATTCTCAAAACATACTCCCCTGTAGGTATATGTTATTTCCTGTATTATTTATATTCATATAAAAACCGTTTTCTTCAATCTCCATTCTTGAATTGGAATTCCAGGAAATTCTTAGTGTTTCATTTACACATATAAGGAAGGCCTATAGAAATGAACGCTATTGTTATGACCCTACTATCATGGTGTCAGCAATAGTATTTTATACATGTTTATCATAAAAAATGTCACTTCTGTAACTTCTGTACAATAGGCCCTATTGTCTATTCAAATATGTAAATTAGTTACTTACCCTCTGGCTTGAAGAACATGGTTATCAGTGCTAGTAGGCTTTGTCGTAATTTCGGGTTGGGTGTCATTTTTTTTGGTAGATGTATGTTCAGGAACAGGGGTGCTACTGCTTACAGTCTTGTTTGTGGTCTCACTGGTTGGTATTTTGTTTGGTGTCGTCTCATTATTAGGTTTATTAATGTCACTTGATTTAGTTTCAGTCTGTGGTACATTTTGGTCAATTTTCTTTTTGTCTGGAGATGTATTATTTTCTATATCGCCTGATTTTGCAGGTTTCTCCTCTGTTTTGTTCGTAGCTGATGGTGGGTTTTGTGGTACACCCTGTGGTGTTTGGGCTGGTGCTATCTGACTCTTATCAGTGCTAATTTGGGTAGTTGTCTCATTGGTTGCAGGTACTGGAGTTTGTACAGTCTGATTTTTAGGTATCACAACATTAGAACCTGTGGTTGTGTCACTTACTGGTTTTGCCTGAGTCCCTGTAAGCAGGTACAATATAATGTTTAGAAATATTCTATAATTCATGCTATCTTGCTCCTCACCCTCTAGACAAGTGGCAAGCGAATTCACCGATGGAATCGACATTGCTAGCGAGTTTGTGAGATAGAATGAGGAAGCAGCATCGGATGTCTCATTCCAACCTATGAACTAACTAGTAATGTTAATTCCATAGACAAATTCTATCTATTGCTATTTGTCCAGAGGCCCTGGGCAGTGTTTTCTTCCAATAGTTCCTAACTGTACCATCTCAATTAAACCTTTAATATCTATACTAATATTATAAAGAGGTAGTTTATAAGTTTTAATGTTTGGGGATAATCTCCGGTACTATTGATCTGATTTTGAAAATTTTTTTAGAATGGTATATGATCCCTGAGAAACTACTTTTTATTTTGGTAAAAATATATTTTTTAAAATTAATCACAATAAATGTAATGGAAGTTGGCATAAATTCAATAATATGGCATGAATAGTATGGAATAAAATCTATAGCAAAATTATTATTAATATAAATATCTCAGCCAAAAGTATATTAAAAATAAAATAAAGTTTACAAGCTATTTGTTAATTTTAAAATTTTAAAGAATATTATTGCAGTACTTTCACACACGCCAAAATCACAGCCTTACTAAAATGTCTTAAACAGTTTAAAAGTTTCATATAGGCATGAATAAAATATGTTTTGTATAAATATAATATGATTATAGAATGCATTATACACATTTTTTATTTATATTTTGAATGATGGGAAGCCCCGCCTGTAGACATGAACTATGTCTATAATAAATTAATTCATCAAAATAGTTATTAATATCTGTATCAAAGAGATGTGTATAATGTATGTATATTTTTTTTAGATTTAAGAATAATATATGTTTTCCAAAGAAAATATAACTAATATTAAAGATGCAAATTTTATTTGAAGTTATACATGTGTAACCAAGATAAAGTAATAAGTAGATAAAGTATTCTATGTCTTTTTTCATCATAATACTATGAGCATATTAAATTTCATGACCATTAGTTCAATTGCTAAGGTATAAAATAGTAACAAATAAAATTCCTATCTAAAAAAATGTTTATTAACAAGTATTTAGTTATAATTGTGACTAAATTGATATGGGATCAATGTGCACACATTTACACAAGAAACTTTCAAACAGAGAACCTGTTCCTTTTTGAAATTACTTAAAAATCAAGAACAGGTGTCAGGTATGTTAATCAAACATACTGTTGGATAATGTAATTTTCTTTTCTGTTAGGTACTTTCCCATACAGTTAAGTAGGTATATGATTAATTTGAAAACTGAATTGGATGAAATGGATGCTTTATAAAGTCCATATATCTTGAACGTGTCATATATTGACGAGATAATGCGATGCAATGTTGACCCGAGGTCAGCTTCGCGACAAGGGCTTTTTAATTAAAATATGATTGTAATATTACATATTTCAGAGCAATATTAGAAAATTATAATTACGATCTTTAATTTCAAGTACTGCATTATACTTTTATTACAGATATATTGAAAGAAGTATAAGCAATGGTAAGAAAATTCTATTTAAACGCAATAAATTCATGGATGCTCGATTGTTTTTAGCTACGTACCTTCTTGAACTTCCGCTTGGCTCAGACATATTGCTAAAGATATCAAACAGACAAATAAAACTTTCTTCATGTTTGGTCGATTCTTTGTGTATCTTATAGCAAAAAATTAAAATATTATAGAATAATTTTAATTATTTTTTCAATAATCTACAAGACAAAAGGAAGCAAACAAACGTAGAATAAAAATCGACTAAGAACGAACGACTCGACTATTGCAAATTGAAAAATAGTGACGTTTTGTTTTTCTTTTTTTTTTTTTAGTACGTTTGTTCCGTTTGGAACAGGCTAAGGTCGGAGACCATGCTGCCTAGTCTTCAAAAAGATAATTTGTCTGGAATAATGACGTTTTGACATTGACAGTTACTTTCTTTTTAGACTGTGGTGAGTAAGGTATCCCCTAAGAACCAAAGATTCCCAATTCTATTCCGAAATCTTTTTTTCCAATCCAATCCAATTGGAAGTATTCAATTTAATATTGTAACTGTAATCTATATTGTGGTAAATTAAAAACATTGACTTGGTATTTACCATAGATTAAGAATATTGTATCTACATGTATCTATCTACCTAAGAACAAGAAATCTTTGCTAGCTATTTACTTACCTACCTATTTGCATTATAATATGTCATGGATTTTTTTTTATTGGATGAAAATGGAGTGGTAACCCCGCCTGCGCTAACGGGATACGCTGCCGGCCACCAGTGACAGGTGATCTATGAGGATGAAAACAGGCCAGTTAGCCTATCACGATGAATTCATCCGGAATTAATCATGATAGTTTCCAGGGGGAATCGCGAGGAGGTCGACCTGGTTGGGTATATTGCTAGCAATGGGATTCTTAGTCTCCATTACTAACAATCCCTTTCCCCCCTAAATATGTCATGGATTGGATCAATGATAGTGATTTAATTATTTCTTTATAGGATTACTAACATAAGACACAGCAAATCATTGCAATACAATACACTGGTAGATTAGATCTAACTGTTCTTACATTTATAGGCAACCACAGCATGCCTTGAGTTTGATAAATATTAAAATAGAATTAAATTATTAAATGGCATTAAATGAGTAAAGATATTAACAGTATGAATAATAACACATATTCATTTAACGCTTTATTGCACCAGAAACATTAAATAAACATAAAATGACAATTAAACAACTGAAGTGGCGTAAATTACAAATTAAAAAATATACTTTAAGTTTAGATTATATAGATAGAGTATCTCCATACAAATGCTTCTATAAAAGATTCTATAATTCTTTTTTTAACTAAGTGCATGGCCGTAACATTTGGTTGCATTCTCGCGGCAATTTGCAGAAATCGGTCTTGCCGGTGAGTGGTAATACACCTCTCGCCAGGGTGTCTTTCAGCCACGTAACGTGACCATAATCTTGATATCATATTTTGTTTTGTATTCCAATCGCCTCAGCAACTGTCCGTTGAGTTTAAGCATACCTACTGCCTGTAAAATCTCTCTTGTTAAATGGCGTCGGTGCATGATGAAAATAGTCGTATAAATTCCGAATCTATCACTAACTTGCTTTAAAACATTAATTTGACAAAAAAGATTTCCATAAACTATGATAGGTAAATAGAAACATTAAAATTTTATCTTAGTAATGCCGCGCAAATAAATTGTTTTTAATTATTTTTTTAAATTCCAATTTAGAATCGTTAAAAAAGACCTATAAAAAAGAATCTTCAAAAATCGGTATACACTGGTGGGGAACCAGTGATGGATGATAGATGAGGATGAAGCAGGTCAGTTAGCCCATCGTGATGAATTCAACAAGAATTGTTCACGATGATTTCCAGGAGGAGCCACATGGAGGTCGACCTAGTAGGGCATATTGCTAACAATGAGGCTGTCAAATTCCATTGCTAACAATCCCTTTCCCCCTTCTCTTAAGGCCAGGGCAATCTCTTAGAGGCGACCTCTAATACCTATCTGCTGTCCTGGGAGGGAAAGAGATTGCAATATAACCTTTCAAGTCAACCTCCACGCGGACCTGTAAACCTTCGTGCTGAATTCCAGATGTATTGATCACGGTGGACTAACTGACCTGCCTTTTCAGTCTCACCTATCATCCATCACTGGTACCCCGTCAGCGTATACTGTTAGCGCGGGCGGGGTTACCATTCCATTATCTCATATACAGAGCCTTAAAATTTAAAAGTGCTTGATTGCAAAAATATACAAACTTAATTACACAGTTATGGACTTCTAATTTCGAAAAAGATTTTTATAAACTAATAAACAATTTTATATTTGGGAAAACAATGGAGAATATTGATAAATGTGTAAATGTAAGATTGTTAACACATTGGAATAATAGTAAACAAAATATTTTTTGTAAATATATTTGTAACTATTTGGAACTAGGTGGACAAATTTTAAAATAATGCCCAACTTTTATATATTGATACCAATAGCTAGATCTATCAAATCTTAACTATTGATTTTTATGAGGATATAAGGTCAGAAATACAACAAAACTTTGAAACATTTATTGTTATATAGATTATCCAATAGACTGTTTATTCAGTTTATATAAATTTAATAAAAATAAATAAGAATATTTTTAACATTAAAATAACTGTAAAATATTTAGGGAGTTTGTACGTCTTCTATAACTTCGATCTCAGATCGAAGTTATAAACAATAGATGTAGGCAATATAATTATAGTTAACCCTTCTTTGCATACTGGTGGGAATTTCCATCATAACGAACAAAGAATTTCACTTTAAGTTGATCGTGTCTGGATACCTTTTTAATGTCCGTTGCAAAAAAAAACATATCTGTCATATTTATTTTTTTAATATTTTTTTCTTTAATTTTAAACATGAATTATATCACCTTGATTTAATTCACCAATAAAAAAAAACATGCAAAGCAGGGTTAAAACTAAAGATGGTAATAAACTTGTTATTAAAAAAATTTAAATGGAAAATGCATAGATAAAATCGATTAAGCATATTATATTTACTTAAAAAGTAAATAAAATTTGTTTATCTTACAATGATGATAAGAGATGCATTCTACCTAACTCTACATATACACTAGTTTTTGGCGATTATAAAATAAAATTAAAAATATGTAAAAATATCTATAATCTAAATAATATTATTATAAATGTGAATTACTAAAAATATATTTTATGTTGTAAGACTTATTCTTAAAATATTTTCAATGATTTCTTTATAATCAATTAACCAAAACATTATGCAAACTATTTACTTTTGTATATTACATCATTAATTGCTAATTTTGCCATCATATTGCAAAATAAATTTTGTATGAATAACGAGTTGTTTTAATTTATTCTATGAATCCTTAGTGCAATAGGAAAATCAAATTATGTTCCAATTCATTCATCCATTTAGGTACTGCAATTGTAGTAGGACCAAGTTGTTGTGGAAAATCAAATTTCGTCACAAATTTAATAAATGTATTAGAGAGATATGCAATGAACGATTTTTTAAATTATTCTCTAAGAATACATTATACAATGATATACTATATTATATAATATGTGTCTCGTTCAATGTTTGTTTTGAATAATAATAAATTATTTAAAAGTATAAAATTAGTTTTATTAAACGAAACAAAATAATACTGGGTTAAGTAATAGTAAAAGACATAGTGACTTTATTATCGATAATGGACAGATAAGACGACTATTTAATGAACGAGATAAATGACAGGTGATTAGTGATCAATACAATCAGTAATCAGGTAAATGATGTCATTATACTAATGAGTAGTATTGGAGATGGAGATCTGTGAAAGCAATTTCTCTATGAGAGCGGAATGGATGCGAGATACGAGTATGAACTCAGCGACCACCAAAGCCTTTTGTTTCTTTTTTGGTTTTTTTAATGAGTGTAGGTAACGATGAAAGCAGGTCAATATAACCTGATAGGGTACATTGTAAGACACCATTTTTTTAATACCTTTCCACCCTCGTTTTTTTAGATTTGAGCGACAAAATATTTGATTGATGAGGCTCAATAGCTGGGGTGAGCAGAGCATTGGAGGTGAGCCAGGAAAGACATCCTCTTACTACTATAACTGTTATTATTACACTATACTTTCAACATGTTTATTTATTACATTATACTTTCAACAGAGAATTTTATCTTTAATTTTATTATTTTTAAAACTTATGCCGTAATTCCAAGTGCAGTACGCATCCTAAAAAAATTTCAGGATGAATTCGAAAAAGTCGAAACAATTATCGGAAATGACAAATATAATAAGCGGGTGGAAAGGGATTGTTAGTAATGGGGTTTAATTGCTCCATCGCTAGCAACACACTATCAGGCCGACCTCCACGCGGTTGCCCCTGAAAACCATCGTGGGTACTTCTAGTGGAATTCGAAGACGATAGGCTAACTGACCTGCTTTCATTCTCATCTGTCTTTCCTCACTGGTGCCAGCATATACCGAAAGCGCAGGCAGGCTTACAATTTCATTACCACTTATTAAAAAAATATATATAATCCTTTTTTATCTCACAGGTGGCAAACAAGCATACGGTCCACCAGTTGGTAAGCGGTTAAATTCCTGTTATACATATATATATATACCTATGACTATCTTTAACTTATACTTAAGCTACTAGTATAGCGTAATATTATCTGTGATTTAGCCAAAAGAAATGAAATAATATTATATAAAAGGATTTATTTCTTTCAATAGTTCCGGAAGTTCACCAACAAACTATAAATTTTTAATCCACTAACTACATTCCCACTTTTGTTCAAAGAGTTCTTTGTCTTGGACTGCACGATTAAAGTATAAAGCGACAATTGAATGGCATATTTCTGAACTCTATTTTAAAAGTTACTAAATTAATAGAAAACTAGGTTTTTCCTACGGTTGTTTTCATGAAATTTATTATTGTAATATAAATTTAATTTATATTATAGGCCAAAGGATATGCAAGCTGAAGTGGCAATGGGCTTTTTTTTTATGATGGGTGAAAATGGTATGGTGACTCCGCCTGCGCTAACGGGATACGCTGGCGGGGCACCAGTGAAGGGTGCTAGATGAGAATGAAAACAGGCCAGTTAGCCCATCATGATGAATTCATCAGGAATTAACCATGATAGTTTCCAGGGAGAACCGCTAGGAGGTCGACCTGTTTGGGTATATTGCTAACAATGGGATTCTCAGTCTCCATTACTAACAATCCCTTTCCCCCCTGTGGCAATGGCA